AACAGAAGAGCAAAGAAGGATGCTGGGAGTATGCCAGGTATGGTGGTACATGCCTGTAATTCCAGCACTGGGAGGCTGAGCCAGAAGGATCACAAGTTCGAGCCTAGTCTTAGCAAGACCCTGTTTCTAAATAAAATATATGAAAATTGCTGCAATGTAGCTCAGTGCAAATGCCCTGGTTCCATTCCTAGGATTATTCTTTTTTAAATTGAGGGATGATGGCAGGAATAAGGGATTACAGATCTTCCCAACATCAGTCTGTCAGTCTGGAAGATCCCAACCCAGCCTCACTACAACCTCTGTGAGTTTTTTTTCCCATTTTTGTGCTCACTCGCCAGCTACTGCTGCATTTCTGAGGCTGATGAACAGAGAATCTGGTCTCTTTTCTACATGATTATCTCAAACTTAGCCACGGACAGGGTATCCCCAAGTAGTCCATCCTTGTTTGCCTGCAGACTTGGTTCTCTTCTAAGACTGACAGTCAGACTCCAGGGCTTTGTCCTACCCACTGTGGGCCATTGGTACCACATCTCACGAACCCCCCAAAGCCTTCCTTAGCTGCCTGCCTGTTCCAGGTCTTTGTCACCACGCAGCATGATTGTTGTGTTGGCCTGCTGTCTGTTTCCTCACCCTCAACCTCTGGAATTGTCTTCTTTTTGTTTCCCACAAAGGTTCCTAATTGGTTATGAATTGCTAGTACTCAGACTTCAATATTCCTTGACTAATAAGGACCCCTCTTTCTTCCTTTTCCAGAAATATAAATTATTTTCCAGTTGACCAAGAGCATCCACTAAACATGTCTTTTGTTAGCTCTGTGTTATGGTTTATATTCGGTGCATTACGGCTGGCTTGCTGTTAGGGGGTAGGGCCTGGTCGGAAGAGGCGGGTCACTGTGGGCGTGACCCTGAAGGTTATATCTCCAGTCCTGACTCCTCCTTGACACTCTTTACTTCCCTGCCACCATAACATGAGTGGCTTCTCCTCCTCCATGCCCCTGTGCCATACTGTCCTGCCTCGGAGCCAGCTGACCCTGAACTGAAACCCCTGCGCAAACTGTAAGCCAAGATAAACTTCTTGTTTAAATTGCAGGTGTTGGGTATTTTGCCCCAGCAGTGAGGAAAGTGACTAAGAAATATTTTAGTACCAGAGAAGTGTTGCTATGACCAGAGCTGTTGCTATGACTACCTGACTATGTGGTTTAGAAGCTTTTAGGACTGGTTCATGGGAGGAGTTTGGAAGGGTTTGGAGATGGCCAGTTGGAGAAGCAGCCCTAGAATGCTATAGTCTGAGCTTGATAGAAGATTTTGGTCAGAATTCTGGTCAAGGTTCAGAAGATCTGAATGCTGGAAGAAATGCAGATAGTAAAGATTAGGTTCAGAAGGCTTCTGCTGGGAACAAAGACTCCATGGCAGTGGACTCTAGGCCATGTGTGTTATGCTGTGGCAGAAAGTTTATCTACATTTTGTTCATGTCCTGAGACTTTGTGGGATACTAAGATTAAGGGTGGCAGCCTAACTGATCTGATGGGGAATGTTTCAAGGCAATCCAATGTTGAGGCTGTGGCATGGATACTGTTTGCTGCATTTAGCAGGTTTATACTGAAAATTGGGAACAAAAAGCCTTTTTGAAAAGTTTTCAGTTTTGCCAGAAAGAATTGCCTATAAAGTAGGAGCAGAGGAGAGTTGGTTGCTGAAAAGATTAGCATTAAAAATAAGCCAAGCACTTTGGATCAGGACAGCAGGAAAAATGGCATGCAAGCATGTCAGAAATCTGTAAGGTCCCACTCTTAGCAGACTCAAAGTTGCAAAAGTGAAAGACTTTGGTTTGAGAAGTGAGTCGTAGGGCACTCTGTTGGAAAAAGGCCACATTGGGAATTGATTCCCTAGGATTCCATTGACCGTGCTCAACTATGCAGCCACTCAGAGGCTTCAGCAGGCTTAATACAAAGCAGCATGGCTACTGTTCAAGCCAACCGCTGACCTTGGTGTCATCCACATGGTACTGGTTTTACAGGCATGCAGAATGCAAGAGTTATGGGGTCAGAAAACTTCCACCCAGATTTCAGAAAAATGGCTGTGGAGGCCAGGCAGTGTGCCCTGTGAGGGCAGTGTGTGAAGCTGTGAGAGTAAAGCCAAAAGTGCAGTGGAGATTCTAGAAAGTTACAGGAGGCAGGAATGTGGAACATCTCAGGAAAGCCTCAGGGAGTAAGCAGAGCCAGCCCAAGAGAGAAGCCATGAGGGCTACAACCACCAGCATTGCTATAGGGGGAGAGCTCCAGACCCTTTTGACTTCATGTCTCATTGCCACAACTTGCCTTGAGTGCTGGACATGGAGCTATAGAATTTAATGTTTGCCTTGCTGTGTTTCAATCTTGCTTTGGTCCTGTTGTTTTCTCTCCCTTTTTGGATTGGGAATGCTTATCCCATGCCATTGTATGTAGAAAGTGTTTAATTTTTATAGGGGCTCACGGCTAAGAGTTTGCCTTGAGTCTCAGCAGAGACTGGATTTTTCAGTAATGCTTGAACTATTAGGACTTTGGCAACTCTTAAAGATGGACTAAATGCAATTTGCATAAAGTCATGTGCATGAATCCTTTTTTGGCAGAGGTGGCGGGGGCAGGCAGGGCCAGAATGTTATGATGTACATCTAGATATTCCCTGAGGACAGTGATGGTGAAGCTTTTAGAGCATTCAATGATAACAACCCACTGAAGCACATGTACCATAGGTTTGCCACTACTGACCTAAAGCCTCATTTCATTGATCACAGGTGGGACCTTTGGAAAGTGATTGGATTACAGGGACAGGATAGGTGGCTTGCTGTTAGGTAGGACCTCGTTGGAAGAGGTCACTGTGAGCATCACCCCGAAGGTTATATCTCCCTTCCTGGTGCCTTCCTTGACACTCTCTGCTTCCCTGCCACCATGACATGCTAGTAGTTTTTCCTCCGACATAACCTTGTATCATGCTGTCCTGCCTTGGAGTCAATTGACCCTGGACTGAAACCACTACAAAGTTTGAGTCAAGATAACCTCTCTTTTTTAAGTTGCAGGTGTTGGATATTTTGTCCCAGAAATGAGGAAAGTGACTCAGATACTGTGGAGTGGGGTGTGGATGTCAGATAAACAGGAAGCATGGCCCCTGCTTTCAGGGAACTTTCACTCTTTGAGAGCACAGAAACAGAAGAGAGAGCCAATAATACAAGGCATCCTTAGCTAATGTGGTATTTGAGGGTTTCCCGAACCTATTAAAAAGCCCTTCACAAATTTTGTAAAGATAAAAACAGAGCCAGTAAAAACTTCTAGAATGATACTTTAAAATGGAGACAGCTTAGATGGTAGGCCACATATGATTGTATTGCCTTACTAGCTAGATTAAGAGTTAGAAAATAAAGCAATGTCCTTTGAAAGTTACCTTAAGTTCACTAGGAATAAGTTATGCCACATTATCTTGTGTTCTTTTATGATAAGATTCATTGGTTCAAAGTGCTTGATATGTAGCATATCTTGAGTTCCAAAGGGCTTTAGGAAAAACCTCTCATGTCTTTATGGAAAAGAATATTGGATAGGATATTGGATAAAATAATATTGGATAGCTCTAAATCACATGGATTTAGAGCTGCTTTAAGGGCAGTCCATGGATGGGATTGTTGTGTCTTTGAGGTCTGTGTGCTTGTAGTCAGTGTTTCATCAGTGATGTAGGTGATGTACATTTCTAACCTACGGTGCTCTGAATCTAGGAGAAACAGCCAAGAGTCAGGACTCAAAATATATCTTGACACCCCCTACCCAAGCCAGCAGAGATTAAAAACAGAACCTGATACTAATGTACTAAATATTAAGATCTCTGAGTTCAGCATGAGGAGAATCTGGCGTGGAAGTAGTTGGTGCATGAGCTGTGGGTCTCTGTGAACCCTGTCCAGGTGATCTGAGCTATGTTTAACCACTTAATAGTTTACCTTGTGCATCCTTTGGGCAGCCCGTGTATGTACATATTGACTATCCTGAGTGTCACTTGGGTAGGTGTCATTTCAACCAGTTGATTCTTATATTGAATAAATTTGATAAAATTGTCATGCTTTATATTTCCTGTTATATTATCTGATAAAAATTGGACTTACTGACCCCGAGGCGATGGGACACCCATTCCTGGGGCCAGTGTTCCTCCTCAGTGTGGGCATCACTGAACTCAACTTCCCTGGTAGCAAGCCGAACACTTAACCTTTTCTGTTCCAACCATGTGTGCTATTGTTGGATGTTTGTCACTTTCAGCCTCTGTCGGTCAGCATCCTCTGTTCTTGGCTGTATGAAAGGCGTATCTAACCAGGCTTCTTGCTATGTGTTGAACATCATACAGTGGTCATCCCTATTCCCTTATCTGGGGTTTAGGCTTAGAACTTCCGGGTGAACTTTTTGAGGGCCACTGGCCTCATTCTAGATGGATGATTGAACCACTGCCTTGCTGACATTTCCCATTCACCCTGACATGCCTCAGTACAGCAGCCAGGGTAGGACGCTGAGCAAGATTCTGGAGCCTGCCATCCTCTGTTCCTCTAAAGTCCCCTGCCCTCAGAGCTGTGCAGATACAAGCTTGGTGTTTCCCTGCCTGCCCCCCTCTATCCTTTGCTCTCTGCTACTTTAAGTTGAGAGCCTGAGATGAATCAAGTGAGTAAGCGACCTGTTTTATCTTCTTGAGGACAGGGAATAGAGTCCCAGCTCAGGACATGGATGGTATAAAGTGAGGCCAGCTCTGACCACCTGGAAATCGCTTTCTGGGGCTGCAGCTCTCTTCTCTCTGGGGACAAAGAGAGGGGATGGATAGGCAGTGAGGCTTGGCTCCAGGTGGAGAGAGTGGAGGGAACAGAAGCTGTGGAAGAAGTGAGCAGGCCTTGGTGATTAGATTGGGAGCCTCTTGCAGTCTGTGGGACCAAGAGGTTTTGAAGGCGGAGTGACCTCTAGCTGCCATGCCTAACCACCCCGTACTGTCTGTTCTGCTGTCTAGGTCACGATGATGACGTAGGGCATCTGTCTGCTGAGCACCCCGGGCCACAGTGACCATGGCCCCCCGCAAGAGGAGCCGCCATGGCCTGGGCTTCCTGTGCTGCTTTGGGGGCAGTGACCTCCCCGAGATCAACCTCCGGGACAACTGCCCGCTACAATACATGGAGTTCTCCAGCCCCATCCCAAACCCAGAGGAGCTTAATGTCTGCTTTGCAGAGCTTGTGGTCAGTGGGGGGTGGGGTCAGGGAGGCTGTTGATATGGGGCGGGGGGAGGAGGGACAAGCAGGCTAGGACAGGGAGCAGGAGCCCATGTGCTGGGTCTCCACCTCCCCAAACTCCTTTTGGGGCTGAGGCTGGTCCCCTAGAGCCCACCAGCTCTGTAGGAGAAACAGGCACTGGAGTAGGCACCATGAAATGGTCCCTAGAAGACTAGTGCTGTATCCAGACCCCATAGTGGAGCAGTGTGGCTGCCTAGGAAAGGGCAGAACTAGGTTCTGTGAGACAAGATGGTGAGGATTCTCAAAGAACATCCGAACTCTTGACCCCTCTTCTCTGTTTCCTGGAGTTTCCCAGGGATCCTTTTATTTGGGAGGCAGGAAGAAGGGACAGAGTTAGTTTCTGGGGAGAGACTGGGGACCTTGGAATAAGAGATGACGGACTAGACATTTGGAGACAGAGATGCTTATATTATGCCCAGGGTCTGGGTTCTGGTCAGGATGACCATATCCTGTGCCCTTCCTGGGACAGCAGGAGCTCAGTCAGTCATCCTAGCACCTGACTTTCTGACTCTGCTTGTCCAGACCAGCACACCAGCCTGGATTTGTGAGAAGCCCTGTGTGTGAAACTGCAGGCTTTGATCACAAAGAGACGGACCAGGATGGACACGATTACTATCTTTGGAGGTCTGATGGGAGACAAAGTTTACAGACCTGCAGAGGTTGCAGAATGGGACGCAGGCCCCTGAGCCCTGGCCTGCAGCCCTCAGTATGAGCCCATCTCGTGTTAGCTCCAGGTTACCCGTTCTCATAGAGCCAGTAGTCATGCCAGTGGCGAAGCCATGTAGTTTGGAAAATACTTTCCTACTTGTATTTTCTAATAGATGCCTCTGGCTAAGGGAACCCAGCCCTTTAAATGACAGGAGCAACTTAAGATGAAACCATGCAGGTTAGATGGAAAAGCTGTCCAGCTTCCTTATCACATCAGGTTCGGGAAAACTCATTGTTTCCTGATTTATACCTTTCCCTGGGATGAGGTAGGGAAACCAAGTGTTTGCTGGTATAGAACGGCATTTGGAGCCTGCCAGATACTAGGGATATTTTCTTGAGTAGAGTGTGTGAGTTTTAAAAGAAGGATATTGTGAGAGGTCTTTTCTTCCTTTTAGTCAGCAAATATTTACTCAGCATCTTTACTGAACAGGATCCTTGCAAGGTCCTTCAGCAAAAGCAAGGACGAGCCAAGTCTCGCTTGCAAGGAGACTTCAGTCAAGTGTTGAGCAAAGGAATGAAAAGTCTTCCTTGGGGAGACTGCCAAGTTCTGGGTCCTATGGGGGATCAGGATTTAGAGGAGACTCATTGGACAGCCCCTGACTCCAGAATGTAAAGTCTAGGGAACTAGGAAGACTGATTTTGAAGATCAGTCCCATCCCTGTTAAGAAGAGAGCATTCACACCAAAGTCACCGCAAAGTACCTATAGAGTGACCCACAACTACGACAGCCTCAGAATTTTCCCAGTTCCATCCCTTGGGAAGCACATAGCCGGGTCTCAGGGTCCCCTCAGGTAGAGAGAGATCAACACTTCCCTTGGCATGGCACACCCTTCCTGCTCTGCCTCTGATGTCACCAGTCCACCCCAGCCCATGCTGGGACCCCCGTGCTGAGCTTGGGGGAGCTGGGAGTGTTTGGGGGACAGACACAAAGGACAGGCAGACTTGCAGCATGGGACAACGATTGAGACAGAGGAGGTCAGTCTGGACCTGTAACTGATTCAATATGTGATGCAATGTTTCAGCCCTTGAACTGTGGTCTTAGGAAGCTTGGGAAGGTCAGGGGCAGAGAAATAAGAAACCCTGGGCAAGAGGGTGAGTGACTCTAGGAGGCTCAGGCAGGAGGATATCAAGTTTGAGCTCAGCCTGGGCAACTTAGCCATTTAGTGAGATCCTGTCTCAAAATTAAATGTAGAAAAAGGGCTAGAGATGTAGCTTAGTGCCAAGGCCCTAGGTTCAATCCCTCATGCTGCAAAACAAAAACATAAAGGATGTGGGAGTAGCAAAGCAATGCAAGAGGAGGGCAGGGGACAGGGTGACCTGGAGGAGGCGTGACGTGCACAGGAAGGAAGGTACCACAAGTTCAGAAGGGATATGTTGCATCACACATTGAATCTCTCAGGGAGGGAGGGAGTCCAAAGGGTAGGTTTGGGGTGTTGCAATCCCCTGCGGGGCTAAGGCATCTAATTGCAACCATTCCTGGGTTGCAGACAGGTTTTCTCTCGTACTTCCAGGATGAATTGGATCTCACTGACAAAAACCGCGAGGCCGTCTTTGCCCTGCCTCCCGAGAAGAAATGGCAGATCTACTGCAGCAAGAAGAAGGTGCAGTGTCTGGAGTCCAAGGTGTAATCGTGCACTCCTTCAACAGCGGGTCTGGTGCCCCAGCTCCCTTTCAGGGCTGGAGGAGCAACAGCAAAGGACATAGGAAGGAGACCACTGTTCTCCTGGGGCACACACACAGGGGACTGGCGTTTCTTTGCACAAACCCCTTCCTAAGGCACCTGTGGCTTCCGGGAGTGGTACAGGCTGCAGAGATCAGGGCAGGGAGTCTCGCTTCCTCCCTGTACCTGCTGTAGCTGGAGGCCACACTCTTGAGTGGCTTCTGCCTAGAAAACCAGTTGGTGGCAGTGGGTTAGGGTCCTCCTGTGAGTCTTCAGCCTCTACTCTGTCCCAGGCCAGGGGTCACATACAGATCCTCCTTCTTCTCTTATTCCTGTCAAGGCACCATGGATCTCTGACTGTGGTCCTCCCTGGAGTGTGCTGGGCTGTAGGTTTATTATCATATTGGTCTTGCCATGTAGTTTAGGCTGGCCTTGAATCACAGTGCGAGGCCCAGGCTGGCCTCAAATTTGCAGAGATCCTCCTGCCTCTGCTTCCCAAGGGTCTTAAGGAGTTTTGTCTCCTCCTTCCACTTTCTTGGCAGTGAAAGCCCATTTGTAGCCCTTCTCTTGGGCCCTTCTCTTGTGACAAGAGGTGGGGGTTGTGCATGCTACAAGCTGTTGTTTAGTGTCACACTGCACATGTCTGAAGCACCTGCAGAATATACCTATCTGTGTCCAGGAATCTCATTGTGAGAGAAGCAAGCTTTAAAAAAGCTGAAGTCCGGGAGGGAGGGAAGGAAGAGAGGGAGGCAAGAAGGAAGGAAAAAGAGGGAAGGAAGGAAGGTAGGTAAAGTAAAATTCAAAAGTAATCCTATTTTTGCTTTTCCACTCTCCACATTGATTTTTGTGGGGTTCCCTTAAGTTGATCTCTTACATAGCTAAAGTAAAACACTTACTAAAATACAAGGGCATCTTACCATTTTTCGAACCAAACTATGGAGGGATTTTCCCACACACTCTCACACCTCTCTCTTCCCACATAGATTTACTCTGTCTCTAGCATCTTTCCCTCCTGTGGTAGCCTAAATAATTGTTAAAAACCCAGTCCTCCTAGACTACTCCTGTGCAGCCCCTCTACCCGCCAGCCTCCATGTTGGCCCCCTTTCATGTGGACAGTTCTACCACAGAGCGTTTTCCCCTTCTTTTGGAGCTGGAGTGTGATAGCCAAGGCTGAGACCATGGCTTTTTCCTCAGCACCGAGTGATCCGCATTTAGTAGGTGCTCATTAAATGCCCAGGAGCTGGATAACGGGGAGGCAGCTGACGCAGGAAAGTATGTGTGTGCTGCTGTGGTTGCTTTTGGTCCTGTGATTCCCTCCCTGAGACAGAAGACAAAACAATGGGCCCTCTGTTACCAAGATCCTAACACATAAAGCCCCAGGAAGGCACAAAGACCAGAACAAGGTGGCTTTCCCTGTGCTGTAAAGTGAGGATTTTATGAAACAGAATAGTGAAGCTTGGGCAGACAGAGCAGAGGGGCCAGGGGCTCCCCAGGGAGGTGTGGGGGAGGTGAGTCTTGGTGCTGACTGGCTGAAAGCACATGAGGGCGGCATCCTGAGTGTCCAGGACTCAGGGGTAGGAATGAGCAGGACGAGGTCACGCCCTGGTGCTGGCCCACCTAGGGTTCAGCCAGCACTAGAAGCCACTGAGCTCCCTCCACTCCTGCACACGCTGGGAGAGGAGCTGAGCACCTCTTGGGGGCCGAGGTTTAACCCTTCTACCTCCCAGCTGCACAGGAAGAAGTGAAGGTGACTGAATCATAGACCTGGGCACTCGCCAGAGCCCAAGGCCTCAGGAGTTCCTCTCTCTCTCTCTGTAGTTGCTAGGTGTTTATCAAGGACCTGCTGTGTACCTAGCACTGCCCCTAATGCTTTATATTAGCGTTCTTAAGCTGTCTGAGAGAAAGGCGAAGTTTTAAAATTTCCAAACCACCCCAGACCGATACTTGTATATAATACAAGAGTGAGAACAGAAAAGTGAAATGTGTACAACCTATAAGGACAAACTTGTATTAGACTCAACCACCATACAATTATATTTTACTAAGTGCAAACAGAACAAATATAGCTGGAGCAAAGACTACTTTAAAAATTATACCTGCTCTCCACTGCAAATGGACACCTGCATAGTCCTGCCCATCCTATTGCCTGCTCCTAGGATTCAGTTATCCCAGCGTAACCCAGGAAGAGATGGAAGCCAGGGGCATTTGCCTCTCCCCTTAGGTCGCCCCCTGTGGGCAGGCTGGGAATTGCACCCCCCCCCCCCACTTACTGAATGAAGCTTGGTCTTGGGACTTGGGCCTGCCTTGCTACTTGGGGCAGACCAACTTTCTTCCTATTCCAGGAGCAGGAGGATCCCAACAAACTGGCGACCAGCTGGCCTGACTATTACATTGACCGCATCAACTCCATGGCTGCGGTGAGTGGTCACTTCTCTCCTGCGCTGGCTCCACCCAGATAGCCCATAGGAGCTATGGTGCCCCCTGACACTAACCCACCTTTCCCTGACCCTCTGTGCCCTCCTCAGCAGCTTCCTAGGCATTCTCAGGATCATAAAACCACCCCTCTCCTTGGTGGGGCTTCAGAGTCACCTAATCACTTAGATGTTTATTAACCCATCTGGATGTCACACAAGCTTGGGGAACAGATTCTCCCCATTTCCCAGATGAGGCAACTAGAGTCCTGCCCCCGAACCTGGGTCTGTTCAGAATCCGACCCTGTTTTAGGAACCATTCCCTGAGCCCTCACCCTTCCTGATGCCCCAGTGGCCCCTGAAGTGCACCAGGCCAGGAGGGAGATGTGTGACGCAGCCTGACCTCTGTCCCCTTTGCCCGTGGGCCCTGCAGATGCAGAGTCTGTACGCATTTGATGAGGAGGAGACAGAGCTGAGAAACCAGGTTGTGGAAGACTTGAAGACAGCTCTTCGGACACAGCCCATGAGGTGACCACTCATTTTCCTCCCTGACTTCCTCCCCACTCCAGGGCGCACTGTCCTCCAACTTCCTGAAGCCGCTGTGCTCTCATGCTGGTCCCGCGGCCAGCTCTACTCCCAGGGTTCCCTGGGGTGCCTTCAGTCTCTCCACCCCCACCCAGCTCCCGCCGCTCTGCTGGGCTACTAGGCAGCTGCTGCAGGTGGGCGGAGTAAAGAGGGCAGGGGCCACAGAAAAGTCCACTAAACCTGGGGTCCTGAGGAGGAGCTCGCTAAAGAGTGGTCGAGGGCAGGCTCTTAATTGTAGCTGGAGAATAGAACAAGAGAGTGGCTGCAGGGACCATGGGTCCGAGCCAGCAGGAAGGTGGGCGTGGCCTGAGAAGCACCCAGCCACTAGGGGGAGGTGTGGAGTCTGTGGAAGAGACTGGATAGTCATGTAGGCAAAGTAAAGGAGGGGAGATGTCCTAAGGCCAAAGGACGACACCTCCTCCTTCTCACAGCGCAAGGTGAGGGGTGTGAAGAGACCCAAGGCCACAGGACTCCCATGCACTTGGCTGCCCAGTGGTTTGTTGGAAGTGGCTCATGTCAGCTGCTGAGAGCCCACTGTTAAATCCTCGGCAATTTTGCACCCCAGTTGTTCAACCTAGCTTTGATTAAAATTAAACTTATGATTAAATAGGTGGTACTTGACATGTATCACTCTCTAAGTACCTGGTTATTTCTTCAGTACTCTGTACTGTTCGATCTGCTGTTGAGTCTGTGTCTGGTGGCTATGCGTGGTGGAGACGCCAGGTAATGGCGTGTCTCTTTCCAACCCCACTTCGGTGGCATCAGATTGGTAGGTTGAAATTGGCTGTCTTAGGAGCGTCGTGTTGTGGAAATGCTACCTGCACTGAGGTCTCCATCCTAGGAGCCAGAGGCTGCCGCATGCTGATGCCCAGCCTAACAGAGGGGTTGTTAGGGGTTGTAGGAAGAGGACGCAGGAAAGCGTAAGGCAGACAGAAGTAAAGAGCCTAGGGGAGGTTGCCACATCCATCCCACTTCATTTTAATTTCCCTTCATAAAATCCCACTTACAAAGTTTACGCAGTCTTTGTGGAAATGTGAAATATAGAAAAGCATAATAGAAAAAAGTAAAAAAAATACCTATTGTTAACCAAATTCAAGAACATATTCTATTGTCCTAGGCATATTTGGACAGCAGTATAACATCTCCAGATACATTTATATATTAGTTATCTGTAGTGTTTCCTAAGCTCAATTTATGACCTTTTCTTCAGATCTTTAATTATGCTACTAAATGAAGGATTCTAAACCTTTTGCTTCTTGGTGTGTGTGTTGCTATGGATATCTGGCACCCAGGAGGAGAAACCTAGGGGCTGCTTCTCAAAAATGATGTTTTTTAAATAGCCAAATAAAACAGATAAATAGATAGGGTTAAAAAAATAAACCAATTCAATTAAAATACAGCTGCCAAATATTAAAAATGCATGAGCTTGCAGTAAATGTGCTTCTTTATGTCTTCAGCAAGAGCTGGCAGCACGTCTGATAACCACGATCATCTTGAAGTACTGCTGAGTGTAAATGATATTTTGAGATAGCTGCTGCAATGAAAATTTGCTATGAAAATAGCGATGATTTCTTTGGGTGACAGAGTCACAGATCCTACTAATAGCGCTGTTCTTTATAGCTTACATCCATCACTGAACAAAATGCTTGATTTCAGTTAGAGGTTATCAGAAATAAGGATGGAATTTTCTTTTCCTACCCAAGTCTTTGAACCCCTGAATACTACCCATAGACCCTTCGTGGGAACCCAGACTCTAGGTTAAGAACCCCTGAACTCAGTGGGTTTTAATTTTTTCTGCTAAGATAACTCTGCTGTTTTCTCAAGTCCCCCTGGAATGTAACTTCCCTGCCTTGGACCCTCAACTCTGATGGCCTCCCTGCCTGGCCATCTGATGATAATTCTCTAAATTCCCCTTCTTCTTGGAGATGAGTCTTCCTTCAGGTTTACCAGTCATTCCTTAACCTGTATCCCTTTTTAGCTATGCAACTGACAGTCAACTGGTGTGTGAGTGTACAGTATTTAAAATGCAAATGAAATGCAAGGTTTTCTTCTGTGTGGATGGTGGGATTTTAGTGCTTTAGGTAAACTTTGTAAATGAGTGAAGTAGCTATTGCAGGCAGGATTTATTGTACACAGGGTAGCTAATCGCACAATGTGTAAAGAATGGAACACAAACACAGGCTACCTTTTCTGCTAATGGCTCTGGCTGGTAGATTCGTGACCCGCTTCATCGAGCTGGAGGGCTTGACCTGCCTGCTGAATTTCCTCCGGAGCATGGACCACGCCACCTGTGAGAGCCGCATCCACACCTCCCTCATCGGCTGCATCAAGGCCCTGATGAACAACTCCCAGGGGCGGGCGCACGTGCTGGCACAGCCCGAGGCCATCAGTACCATCGCCCAGAGCCTGCGCACCGAGAACACCAAGACCAAGGTGGCTGTGCTAGAGATCCTGGGTGCTGTGTGCCTCGTGCCCGGAGGCCACAAGAAGGTTCTGCAGGCCATGCTGCACTACCAGGTGTATGCGGCGGAGCGCACGCGCTTCCAGGTGGGTGTGGAGCCTGGCTGCCATGCGCTGCAGCAGAGCTGGGCAGAACCAATGCATGCTGAGGGCCTTCGGTGAGAAGGACCGTGGGAAGGGGACCCAATCTAGGCCGCACGCCTGCGGGAAGAGAGGAGGAAGAGAGGCCTGGGACCTGCGGGTTCACCTCACGAGACACTAGTGCTTAGGAGTTGTGTGTCTGGTTGGGAAATGGACTGGTCCTCCTTGCTAGGATATGGGTTCCCAGAGCCTGGAATATTGGTTTGCTTGCTTTTGCGTGGCTCTACATTTCTGAGCCCAGCGTCCAGTTCGTGGTAAGGGCTCAGTCAGGAATTGTTGGATGGAGTGTGATCCCTGGGATTAAGATTTCATATCCAAAGCCGGTGCCAGTGCCCACCACTGGGACGTTGGGGGCAGCCCTGGGACCTCCGGCTGCCTGTCCTCTTTTCTTTTCTGACCTGCTAGAAAAGCCAGTGTACAATAAATCCTGCCTGCAGTAGCTACTTCATTCGTTTACAAAGTTTATCGCCCAGAGCCTGTACCCCGAGAACACCAGGTCTTTTCTTTTTTCTGACCTGCTAGAAAAACGCCCCTGAAATAGCCAGTAATGATAAAGTGTCTTAGGCCCCCAACAGAGGAGTCCTCCGTAGATGTGAGTTGGTCCTGAAGTCTGTGGTTTATGTGCCAGGAGAGGCTGTTTGTTTATTCTGCAATCAAACACATTTGAGCACTTGCTGGGTGCAGAGTGTAGCCCCTGAGCCTTTACAGAAGATGGAAAGGGATAAAGGGTAGCTTTGGGCTGGTGGGGGGCTGGGTAGGGAGTACTCAGGGGTCCAGCCAGAGGAGTTAGAAAGCAGCACCGCCCCACAGTAGGAACATAGACAAGGCCTATGCAGGGCTGAGGCTGCCGTGTGGCAGGGCTGTGGTCGCTTCTTACAGAGGTGAGGCCCGAGAAACCTGGAGAGACACACTCGGGCAGACAGTGCACAGGGCTCCTGGGTAGTTGGAACAGCATTAGCTAAGGAGCAGAAGCTGACTTTTAGGATCCTGATCCCTGACCCTAACCCTGTTCTGCCTTCCCATCCAGACCCTGCTGAATGAGCTAGACCGAAGTTTGGGCCGGTACCGGGATGAAGTGAACCTGAAAACAGCCATCATGTCCTTTATCAATGCTGTCCTCAATGCTGGTGCTGGAGAGGTGAGGCCCCTTTCCTTGTCTTGCTGTCCCCGGACCTGGGTGTGCATGCGTGTGCGCGTGTCCTTCCTGGGTAAGTGGCAGAGAAAAGAGCCGAAGCATCTGGTTGGTGGATCGTGTCATCTTCAGATTATTTTTAGAGCCTCTTCCGTCTTTCACTTGGGCCTCGCTGTCACTAGGGTAACAGCGTGTCAGCCAGCCTGTAACCTACAATCTATCTCATGCATGGCTCTGGCTAGCTGTGTCAAGGGCAAATTCTGATTTTGTTTGCCTACAAAATTCTTCCTGCTTTACCTAAACCTGGGAGGGAGGGCTCCTGGGAGTTTCGCACAGAGACAGCATGGCAAGTTCTAACTGAAATCGAGCATTTCCTTCAGTGGTGGATGTAGATGATGAAGAAAAGTGATATTGGCAAAACCACCAGAGATCCCCAGTAAGCCTGGCTGACGGGGGTGGCAAGGGGTCATTTACGGGAGGAGAGCAAATTTTTAGCCCCTTTTTCTAGAGCTTTCTAGAAATCTGCTGCTGGGTGCTTTCTGGGTTAGCCGGGGCCAGTCCTCTAGCACTTTCTCTTGGGAGGCATGGCTTTTCCTTTGGGATCAGGATGGGATTCTTAGAGCATCAAAATAGCAACATTAGAAGAACTTGAAGAGCAGATAAATGCCCTAAACTCTGAAGCAGTCAGATGCGCCAGTCAAGGTCAACCAGAAGGACAAAGGGAAAAAGGAACAATTCCGTGATCTCTACCTTTCACTGTTCGCTGCCAGCACATGTTCTGTTTTGCACACAGTTCTGCTAACCCGCATTAGGTAAAATTGGCCAGGGGAATAAGGTGTCCTTAAGACACCGGCATCACCTTTGTCTCTGCCAACTCTTTATGGCTGACATCCATTCTAATCAGTTGGTAGTAATACGACACTAGATAATTTTTGCAACCATCACCCCCATAGGTAAGTTGGGCTGTGCCCATTTTATAAACAAGGAAACAGAGGCGTTGCAAGACCACAAAACTCAGAATTCTGAGACACAACATGCACTTAAGGCAGGACTTGCGTGACACTGAAGCTCCCACTCCATGTCACTTCACAAATCTGCTCTTTGAGTCCAGAGGTTGAGAGAACTATGGTCAAGGTTTAGAAGGATGTGAGGCAGGAGTCCTAGGGCTTGAAGCAGCTCTTCAGTGTGTTTGCTACAGGTGAGGCGGGACTCTGGCTGGGGTGGTGATGAGGGCTCCATGAGTGATTCTTGGGGACCTGAGGCTACCCACTGAGTCTGCTCCTCCCTTGCTTACTCCCAGGATAATCTGGAATTCCGGCTACATCTACGGTATGAGTTCCTGATGCTGGGAATACAGCCTGTGATTGACAAACTCCGGCAACACGAGAATGCCATCCTGGACAAGTAAGATCTTGGCCACTGGATTGGTCCCAGGGCAGATGTGTAGGGGCAACACTCAGCTCATGTGTGGGGAGGGGGGAACACCTTTGCCAAAGTTCTCTGTCACATTAGGACTGCATGCCATGCTCAGCATAGGTTCAGAATCAGCTCTGCAGGGACAGGCGTGTCCTCTGCTGACCTGCGGGTCTCAGTCCCTAGGTGATAAACAGCTGAAAGAAACAATCCTAATTCACAGCAGCACTGCCCCCTGGGGGACATGTGAAATATGTTGGGTGTTCTTCGGTTTTCAAATTGATTGCTGGGTGGGGAGATGGCGCTATGCCATGGGTGGCTGAGGATCAAGAATATTCAACACCCTGAAAGACACCTGCTTGACATGGAAACAGCCCACCCAAAATGCAAGCTGCCAAGCCCTTGCTGGTGGGAGGGCATAATTGAACTCTGCATGTCACCAGTGAGCCCCTTTGCTCTCATCTCATTAGTACAGGATGTCCCGTTCCCCGGGGTTTTCAGGGAGAAAGGATGGATCCTTTTGAGATGGAGGGAGTTGGCATGTTGTTGTGGTTAGAAAACCAGGGAGAGAGAGATTAGCTTTGAGAGCCATAGAAGGACATGGAGGGAGAGAGGTGGAGGACAGCATCTTCCCTAGGGGGTGATTATATCTTCTAGGAGACACTTGGCAGTTGCTGGAGATGTTTTGGCTGTCACATTTAGAGGAGCAGATTCTACTGACATGTAGCGGGTAGAGGCCATGCGTGTTGTTAAACATTCCACAGGGCACAGATCGCCTCCCACAGCCAAGGATAGCTGAGCCTAACAGGCCATAGTGTCAGAGCTGAGAAATGCGGACCTGTGGTGATAGAGCTCTGGGAAAGCAGGTCATGGGCTCTTACATGCAGAGGGGGTGCTGGCCTATAGACAGGTGGCTTCTTTCTGGTTTTGTCTTAGGCTCACCTGTACAAAGATTCAGATTTAGCTGGGGTGGAAAGGACTATAACCCTAAACCATGAGTGTCCTGGCAGTAATCTCTCTGTCCCCCCACCCTGCCTAGGCATTTAGACTTCTTTGAGATGGTTCGGAATGAGGATGACCTGGAGCTGGCCCGGAGGTTTGACATGGTGAGGAGCCTGTGGGGTGGGCCGATGGTACTGGGGTCCCACATAGCCCTACAGTATTGCTTCAGGTCCAGTCCTGGGGTGGATCCAGTGTCAGCGGGGGCCCTATTGCCAGGTCCTGCCTCTGGAGCCCTGGTGGTGTGCTAGCCTCGCCTGATGGGTCACACCTGATCATCGCCCTCCAGGAGACCAAACCCCCCCCCCCCAAAAGAAAGCCAGCTCTTGCACATGGTTAGTCTCCAGTGCCTTTCTTGGGCTGATTTTCCTGTGCCTTCTAGCAATTTCCTGCATCCCCTCTTTGTACCCCTAACCAGATCATACTTAGCAAAGCAGATCCTATTTTCATTTCACCTTAGCAATCCCGAGAGCACACCGCCACTGGTTAAATATTGTATTTAAAAAAATCCTCCCCAGATGAGAACCCCCTCCTGGGTGGTGCATCAAGAACCAAGCACCACCCCTGGGTCTGTGCATGGCCTGCAGTTGTCACATGACGAGTGGATCTGGGACTGGAGCTCAGGGGGTGGACCTGTGTCACAGGCCACTTGCTACTCAGAAGCATCTATGCCCCTGGTCCTTCCCCTTAGTGTGACTTAGTAGTTCTCAGCCATAGGTGCTTTACTCCCCCCATGAGGGCACATCTGCCAAAGCTGGTATCTTAGTTACATTTCTCTCATTGCTGAGACAAAATACCCAACACCCAAAATTAAGGAAGGAAAGGTTTATTAAGCTCACAGTTTGTGGAGGTTTCAGTCTGCAATCAGCTGGCTCCAAGGCAGGGTGGCACATGGCAGAGGGCAACTGCTCATGGTCACAGCAAACAGCAAAAGCAACAAGAGCCAATAAGGGAGGAGCAGGTGGGCAGGATCTTTCCCTCCCTTGTATTGTATGCAAACTACCCGCCCCAGGGGCAGGTGTAGCACTCACACCCATAATCCTAGCATTGGACTATGGATCAATCAAAAATCTAGAAGCCTGCCCCATGACTGCATGAGGATTTGAGGGGACATGCAGACACAAACCATAACAGCTGGAGACATTTTGGTTGCCACACTTGGGGAGGAGGAATGAAGGCCTGCTGCTATTGGTCTCTATAGGTAGAGGCTGCAGATGTTGGCAAAGATCTTGCAAAGCAAAGGCAACACCTGCAACGAGAGCTGTCTGGCTGAGCTGCCCAGAGTGCTGAGAATAGAAAGCCTGGTTTATGTAGTGAGACTCCCTCCCCTCTCCTTTTCTCGATCTTTCTCCTTTGAAGCCTGGCCCAGAGGCAGGGGAAGAGACACTCTCTCGGGAGAGGGGCTCAGTGATGGAGATTTTTCCTTTTCATCCTCTGATGCCTGGCCTTCCCCACTCACTGTGGCCTCTCACTCTCAGGTCCACATCGACACCAAGAGTGCCTCCCAGATGTTTGAGCTGATCCACAAGAAGCTGAAGCACACTGAGGCCTACCCCTGCCTGCTGTCTGTCCTGCACCACTGTCTGCAGATGCCCTGTGAGCACCCGCCTCCCTGCTGCCCTCGAGGGCTGAGCCTGCCTCAGGGTGGGCGGAGACAAGTCTTGGGGGACCGCTCTGGGCTGGGGAGTCTGCCTGTGTCTTGCTCTGCACTTGTCCCAGGCCCCTCCCTTTTGGGGTCAGGACACCCACTGTCACCCTGGGGAGGAGCCAGAGACTTGGTGGTGAGCAACTCCAGCATCTTCAACCAACAAGTAGTCGCTTGATCATTGAGAAATCAGCTCTGCGGTCAGCTCGTAACAGAGGAGCACTCAATACTCAGTCCTTTCTTTATATGTGGTACTGGGGATTGGACCCTGGGCCTTTGCACTGAGCTACATCCCCAGCCCTTTTTTATTTTGAGGCAGGTTCTCACTAAGTCACCCAGGCTGCACTCAACCTTGCAGTTCTTCACCTCAGCCTCCCAGAAGTCTCTTTGTTAATTTCAAAACAAGGTTTCACAGTTAAGGAAGGAGCCTGGATGTGTAATGAGCTTGCTATTTGTGTGTGTGTATGTGTGCGGGGGGTGTTTTATTAACTCTTCCATCTGGTCCTTGCTGACCCTCACCCTAATACTCCTGCATCTGTGTCTCTGTCTCTTTACAAACCCCACTAGCATCTTGGGAACAGGAGGTTAAGTTCTCTAGATGTAGGTGAGCACAGTGCTTGACTCAGTGACACATACTTGCTCCTAACTAGCCTAGAATGCAATTGGAAGTCAGCCGTCACTGCCATGTTTGGTACTTCAGTGTCTCACAAAATAGAACATGTTGAAAATTCATGTGGTCCACCCAAATGCGCAACCTGGTTGTTTGCCAAAATGATGGTGGTGTTGGTGACAGTAACTGCAGTTCACTGCATGCCACCTCTGGGGCTTGGTGGATGGAAACAGGGTCTTCTCCTGTTCTCCTCCCCTGCTGCTTGTCCGTCTCCATTCACTGTGGCCCCCCACCCCGAGGTAAGGCTCACACTGATACCAAAGTAAGGCACCATGTGAGGGTCTGCAGCGAGCCATTGTCTCTGCTTCTCACAATGACAGGAGCGGTGTACATTCTCATCTCCATCCTACAGGCTGAGCGAGTTCTTCAGCTACAGAAGGAATTGCCTTTTCTTGAGCTTTGGGTGAAACACGTTCTATCTCTGTGAGCCTTGCTATGTTTACCTGGTTGCAAAGTCCACAGACAGCTCTGCCACTTACCAATGCCTGTACTGATGGAACCGGAACCCCGAGAAAGAATTGAGATCGTGAGCTGGAACTGATAGTGAGCTATCAGTTCTCCAAAATGCAGCCCAGGAGGTCTCTGTGGAAGATTTCAGAGAAGCTGGGAGACCTCACTTCTTTTGCTTCCAGCAGTTTCTGGGCCTGATTTCCCAGCAGCAACACAAGTGGGTCCCTCCATTCTGTTCAGAAAGGAGGCTGTAAGGGCAGAGCTACTGACTTAAGGTGGAACTCTATGTCAGGTTGCCCTGGTTGAGTTCTGTTGGTGGTCAGTAGAGATGAAATCATGGGATAGGGGGCCAAGAAGGAGAAGTGGCTGCTCTTTGAGAGAGAAGTCCACATCCGGCCAGGCTGTGGTTATAGGGGATGAGGCAAAACACACAAAGCCTTTGTCTTCCTGGAGCAAGGTCATCTCCCCCAAGGAGTCTTCTTGGTTTCTATTAACTATGGCTTTAACTCCTTTTGCTACTCTCTCAGTGCACATTTATAATCGGTTCCCATTCATCTTTTCTGTAGAGCAATAACATAGATAATCCTGAAATCTTTTTTTAAAAAAATTTCCCTGGAGACTTCATTATTAGGCATGTAGTATTTTAGAACAGGTGCTTTTTATAGATAATGGGAAAAAAAATCAGTTCGTATTTCCAGGGCATATTATGCCCAGGGTCTCAACAAGGAAGAAAGGCAGCCAGGAAGCACTGGTGGAGGAAAGAAATTTGTTAAGGGGGTTGATGCATCCAGAGAAGGTCGGGCTCTGGTAGTGAAGAGATGACTGGATTTGCGAGCTTCTGTTGTTAGCGGCTACGGGGCCTCTTTTGTCAGCCTAAGAGCTTCCTGTGTGAGGGGAAGGCCGCGTCCCACCTGCACAAGCCTGAGCAGTCATTCTAGGGCAGGGCTCCTGGGGACTCCTGAGCTTAGTCTCGATATGATGCCTGTTGTCCCTCAGACAAGCGGAATGGTGGCTACTTCCAGCAGTGGCAGCTCTTGGACCGAATCCTCCAGCAGATTGTCCTCCAGGATGAGCGGGGCATGGACCCTGACCTGGCTCCATTGGAGAACTTCAACGTCAAGAACATTGTCAACATGTGAGTGGGGGCCAGCCTTTGATTCTCACCTACCTGCTACCCTGAGTCTCACTGGGGACATCTCAGCTCTCTCCGCCCAGAAGTCCCCAAATGGTCTCCAGCAGCCTTGTCCCACAGTGCAACTCTTACGCATGGAAGTGCTGCATTTCTACACTGTCCGGCATGGCAGCGAAATGTGGTGTGTGCTTAGTGTGACTGGGGAACTGAATTTTAAATTACATTTCATTTAAATTTGAGTAGCAGCATGACACCAGGTGGTGTATAGGTTATGTTCTCAGCTCTCAGTAACTCACTGCATGGGTTGGAGGGGTTTACACACATTCACACGGAGCCCTGGTCAACACTCTAGGGCACACAGGCTAACGCCAAGCCCCCAGCTTGCTTTCTGTGTGACCAAGTGCTAAGAATGGTTTTCATATTTTAAACAAACACACGCAAGAATGTATGACAGACATGGTACGTGTAACCTGAAATATCTACCTTGGTCCTCTCTACAAAATTTGCTGGCCCTTGGCACAGAGCATGGCCATTTGATCACCAGCCTGGTGGAGGAGGTAGTTAGTGCTTGCTATTGAGAGACCCCTGAATACAGAAGCACACAGAGAAGGAAATCCAAATTTATATCAGTTAATAACAAGACCTGACATTAGCATCCTGATTTTTAATCTTAAACGTTTGCTTAGCTTTTGCTGTCTGAGCTGATTGTCCGTCAGGAGGACTGGCTCTCAGTGACTCATTAGATTGCATTCCAAATCCACATAGAAAAAGAGATTTGAACTCTCCTTGTTTTTATTTGCACAGTTGGATGCTGATGTGGTATATCGGACAGTGCAATTAGTAAAGTAATCAAAAGGCAGCTTTGATTTTTTTTGTTGTTGTTGTGGTTTGCTTGTTTTTGGCACCAGGAATCGAACTCAGGACCTTGCACTTGCCAGGTAGGCACTGGGCAACTGAGCTATATATCCATGGCCCAGCTTTGATTTTACACTATGTAGAGAGAAGCTTTTCCAGCTATCAGAGGCTGACAACTCCTCAGATCCGATGCAGGTTTTTTTTCCTCTAGGGCAAGAATTTCAGCGATCACTTTAAGCTTCTTTGACCAGGATGTCAGGATGCAGGTGTAAGTCAGCATTCAAGGCTTGACTTGGCCTCACCTCTCTCCTCCACTGGCTGGAGCCAGGGGGTTAGAACCAGAAGGGCACTCATGTGTGTGTGTGTGTGTGTGTGTGTGTGTGTGTGTGTGTGTGTTTGGGTTGGCTTCTTTTCTCTATTCTAGTTCCCTTCTACCTTCATCTGTCTTCCGGCTGCCTTTCTACTGGCAAACCAGGTTTGGGCCTCTTCCAGAGGTAGACTAGGGCCAGGAAGGGCAGAGGAAAAGGTCAGAATTGATCAGGAAATGGAGCAAGCAGGTTCCTGCTCTCTGGGTCCCACACATGGGTAGACATCGCTGTGCTCTTGGGATCTTTACAAATTCTTTGCTGGGTGCTAGCTCACGGAGTTTCCCACACTGGCTGGCTGCTGCCTGCCCTGCCAATGGACTACCTGGTTCCCTGGTAGTCCATTGCACACCCACCCACAGTGCTCATGGTCCTAGTTTTCTCCCAGGTGGACCCTGTGAAGGACTTCCCATTGCTTCACCCCATGTCTGCCGTGAGGCTGGCATCACACTTGTGGGCAACTCGTGCATGCCCGCTCATGCCTGCAAACCAGCAGTGTGGCATGTCCCACACAGCAGTGCTGTCCTTGTCTGTCCTTCACCCTCTGGATTTTCCAGGCCCAGAGGGGGACCCTAATCTACCTCCTTCCTCCCAGAGTTAGGCAACTTGGTCAAAACTCTGGGAAGGATCAGATAAAAATAAAGCCCTTCCCTGCATGATGGTGAAGGATGTAGCTCCCTTTAGGGCAATGGCTCCCTCCAAAGAAATCTCAGCACGGAATCCTCCCCTCTTTATGTGCTTGATTTGGTTGAAGCCAAAAGTCACGGGTCCAACCTATCATATTTATAAAAGATGATCCTTAGGAATCTCACTTTGGGATTTTACCCTTGGTATATAACCTGGTGTCTGGGTGTAACTTCTCAGTACAAGAGTCTGACATGCATGAGGCCCCCTCATCCCCCTCCTGGTGTGCTATTGAAACTGCTAGGGCAGTTTCTCTGGCTCTTACACACTGGTTGTTGGAAGCCCAGGCTGTGGTAGGGCTGATATTTTTCTCTCCCAGATGCATGGATCTGTTTTCACAAAGGGGCACAAGCATTTGTACAACTAAGGGAAACCCGAGATTCATTAGTAGTTCTGCCGTTAATTAGCCTCATCCCCATGTGGTCCCTGAGCCTCAGTAGCTTCAACTGTAGCACCAGTGGGTTGGATCAGGGTGACTCAGGGTTCTTCCACTCTCATGGTCCAAGGGGACATATAATAAGAACTGGGCAGGAATGAGACCTGGAGAGACACCTGAGATGTCAGAATGCTGGCCTCCTGGGCAGGGCTGCACAGATCGGGGACCATGGCCCAAACCTGGCAGGGAGAGCTGTCTTCCCGAAGTGGTCAACCAGATGGCCGACAGCCACGTTGCCCATTGCCCTTCCCATCTTCTGCCCCCAGGCTTATCAATGAGAACGAGGTCAAACAGTGGCGAGAGCAGGCAGAGAAATTCCGCAAAGGTGAGCAGCCCCGCCCAACGTGTGTGCACCCCGCACCTTCCCTGAAAGGGCACCCAGGGTCACCTTCTGTCCTCCCAGAGCACTTGGAGCTTGTGAGCCGGCTGGAGAGGAAGGAGCGGGAATGTGAGACGAAGACCATGGAGAAGGAAGAGATGATGCGGACGCTGAACAAGATGAAGGACAAGCTGGCCCGAGAGTCCCAGGAGCTGCGCCAGGCTAGGGGACAAGTGGCTGAGCTGGTGGCCCAACTCAGTGAACTCTCAGTATGTGAACCCCCCACCCCACGTAGCTCAGCAGAGGCCTGGGCTGCAGAACAGGGTGGGGGAGCCGCGGTGGGGTAGAGCCAAGGGCCCTGTGGTGAAGGAGAAGAGGAGCTGGGCTCTCAGGCCAGGCCCCAAGGGACTGTTGAGGCTGTCTGGGTAGCACCTTTGTGTCAGTTAGGAAAAGTAGCGCCCTCCCTCCAGTGACACTGTCCTGGAAAGCAGGCCTGGGACAGCGGAGTGCAGGTGGGGCTCCTGCCCCCTCACCTTCTTCAGCTTGTGCCTTCGGTAGCCTGTGCAACTATGTGTGCCCCTCCTGCTAGTGCACAGGGACGACGGGGACTCTGACTGTCCCATGTCTGCTTGTGTTTGTGTCTGTCTGTGGCTCTGTGTCTTACTGTGCATGGGGGGTGGATATTTGGTTTGCAGAGAGAAGGGTGGGTGTGGGAGGTGGGCGGATGATGAGGGCTCTTGTGGAGCTGGAGGAGAAAAAGAAAGGAGAGGAATGAGGCTGGGGGAATGGCTGCCTCCCTGCTGACGGCTTTGTCTTTCTGATTCTCTCTCTCCCGGCAGACAGGCCCTGTGTCTGCCCCACCTCCCCCTGGAGGCCCGCTTCCCTCCTCCTCCACCTCCTCCTCCTTGGTGACAACCAATGACCTGCCTCCACCGCCTCCCCCTCTCCCCTTCGCCTGCTGCTCCCCGCCGCCCCCACCACCCCTTCCGCCTGGTGGGCCTCCCACTCCCCCAGGCGCCCCGCCTTGCTTCGGCCTCAGCCCACCCCTGCCTCAGGACCCTTTCCCCAGCAGCGACAACCCACTCAGGAAAAAGCGCATCCCACAGCCTTCCCACCCACTGAAGTCCTTCAACTGGGTCAAGCTGAATGAGGTAAGTGACCAGGATGGGGCGGGACAGGAGCACAGGGATTGCCACCCACTGGGTGAGGGGCAGTGGTCTCCTCCCTGTGCTGGCCTGGGTGGGGTGGCAAGGGCAGTCACAGGGGGCCTCAGAGATAGGTTTGCTGCCCACCTGAGAGCATCCACACCCAGAAAGCCACTTGGCACATGGTGGCGATGCTCCTGTTGATGGAGCCATCTGCAAGTGCCACTTGTATGTGCTGGGGGTGGGTGGAGTGGTGGATGTCAGAGCCTGGGGCAAGGTGTGCCGCTATACACCAGCCGGGGCTGTGCACCCCAGCACTGCTGAACAAAGCAAGGCAGGCTGGGCTAGAGTTTCAAGGACAGGTATGACGAGGGACAGAGCGGACAATTCAGGCAAAGAGCGTGGGCTGGGGTCCACATCATGGCGAAGACCAGGGCATGTGTACAAGAGACTAAGCGTTTGGCAAGGTGCAGCCATGTGGCATCCTTATGTGTGTGTGTGGGGTGGCTGCACACAATGGCCTGAGTCCCATCTTTTGGCTTCCTGGCATGGAGTGAAGGTTGATGGTCTTGAGCTGAACATATAATACAATGTAGGTACCAGCATTTCCCTTATTGGTATTTTAACTTACCATTTAACTCACCATTTTTTTTTACCAGCTAACAGCAAACTGAAGTTTAATAATTAAATAAGCAAACATACATATCCATCTAATAATAATAAACGGTTATCTTCACAGGCACACACACCTATAGGTCAGTCGAAATACTATTCTCAGTAATTGCTGTGTTTTTTTGCCCAAGTTGCATGACCTTCTCACATGTGGCCTGGAGCATGTAAACCCTGGTACACGTGGGTTCTGATACAACTGGCCATGTGTCGGGCACAGGAGCTGGGCTTAGCCCCGCACTACTCCTTCCCCTACACGGCCTTCCTTTATTACCTATATGGTCTGTGTTCAAGCACCAGCAAGCGGCTCAGCAAAGATTACACTGAAAATCCTAGTAATGTTAAAGGTTTATGATGCTGTGGGGCTGTATTACTAGAGGCCTGGGGCCACATGCAGCTCTAGGCTAACAGAGAGAGGCCTCCATGAGTATGATGCAGATAGTCGCCAGACCCAGCCTCACAGGAGTGAGCTGGTTCCTGTCTCGGACTCTTGTGAGCGTAGAGAAGCCGCGGGACGGCTGCTACGTGAACATCCTGGACAAAGTCTTATCCCTGCTTCTCTATGGTGCTAGTTCCTACGTACAGGACTCTAGATCCTCTTTGTCCTTGTGGAGAACACATCCATTGTAATGGAGTTTCATTTGACCTGGCCCATACCCACACTCGAGTTACAGCCTTGCAGAACTAAGGTTCATGGATGCACTTGGACCCTGTTATATGGGCCCATTGGACTCACTCGTGGGGAATTTATACCTTGTGGGTGGGTTTCAGTGAGCTGGGGGAAGAGGTGGTAGGTAGATCAGGGAGGGATTGCTGAGCGGCTGGTCAGCTGTGTGCTAGATGCCACCCCCTGGTGGTGGGCCATGGAGGTCAGTTCTGGGAAGTTGTGCGGGAATACAATAAAGGTAGGAGACGCTGCCGTGCTGGGAGAGCTTTGAATAGGGCACATTAGGAGGTGTAGTCAGGAAACACCTAGAGATCCAGGTCAGGGGCTGAAGGGGAGGTTCTAACCTCAAACCAAACCTGTGTAAATCATTCAGCTCCCTTCCTCCCTCCTAGAGGGATCGCCAAGATTCTTTCCACCTGTCTGTGTGATCGGGGTGGACACGTGGAGGATGAGTACTGCTCACTCATAGTCTCTGGGGCTTCTGAAAACATCTCCAGTCTGAGCTAGGGCAGCTTTAGACGCAGCTGGTAGCAGTGTTGCAAAGCAAGACAGGTAGCGCTCATGGCAACTGCACGCACAGCTGTGCCCTATGGGTGCTGCAGCGTGGCCAGAGAGACCAGTTGTGCAGGGGCAGGCTCACCGCATCCAGAACCAGAGCCCAAGGTTGTGCAGCAATGCTGTTCATGAGCAGAAAGGATGTTATTTTTATTGTGGTGAAGGGGTATAGACGGGGTAACTCATACTTCTGTGACCTTCTCATGTAGGGAGCTTCGTGCTTAGGATTTTCCCCCGGGTCCAGGAATAGTGATGCCTACAGGAATCCCTAATGACTCAGAGGCGGCAAGAGTGTCATTTCTCAACTGGGAAGTGGAGTTTGGATGGATTAGACGATGAGGAACATTTGTAGAAATTGTAGACACTTTGGCAGGAGAAGGGGTAGAGGGGAATTGAGTAATATTTGGAGAACCTGTTATCCCCGCCCAATGGTGTGGCAAGAATAGGTTATTTCATTGTTTGGGCTTCAGGTTCTGATCTGTATAATGGGGATAATGATAATATTCATCTCAAGAGGTGGTTGTGAGGGTTGACTGACTTAATACAGATATTCCTCATTGACGACCTACCTGTTTAATGACTGTTTAGAATGATCCCGGAGGCACGCTGTGGGAACTTGTGACCTACTACTTGGACTTACAACCTGCCTAATTTTGTACAGTTCTGTCCATCATGGTTGTAGAGCCTGCATATCTATTGTACAGTATACCTTGTTTATACACTGCTATAATTTTTGCTGATTGTACTGTGCAGTATAGTACTGTTGTTTTATGTTCTGCTATACATTATAGTACTGCAGGTAAGAGTTAGGCAAATAAAAGCAAAGTCACCAGGTTGGAGTTTCCTTTGGCCATTTTTGTTCTGAATATTGCAATGTACATACTATATACAATTCCTCATTTAGCGACCAATTCATTTAACGACCTACTTGCAGGGCCGAAACTCAGTCATTAAATGAGGAATGTCTGTATCCATAAAGTATTTGGAACAGAGATTAACACAAGGAAAACCTTAGTAGTACTACTAGATTAGTTGCTATTAGTGGTGTCGCCATGCGTGCTTTAAGTGTTATCTCACTTACTCCTCATCTCAGTACAATGAGGTAAGCATCCCTGAGAGTCAGTTTCCCTTCCTGTGACGTGGGACATTGCCCACAGCACCACATCATGGCAGGGCCGGGAATGTCTGCCAGTGGGGCTGCCTGGCTCCCAAGGCTGTGAATGCTCTATGGGGGAAACAATGACATATGTCCCCAGAACGATTTCCCTGGTAGGTAAAGCAGATCACTAGAAGACCAGAGTTCCCCGGGCTCCAGAGTGGAGACAGCAGGGTCTTGGCTAGAGTAGTGAAGGAACTAAATTTGAGAACTGCTAAACAAGGTGGGGGGCGGCAGAGTGATGTGGTGGAAGTTAGGGTGTGGTGAGCATGAGGAGGAGGCCCACCTCTCTCTGGCTCTGGGCCTAGCTGTACCTGTGCCTCTCCTCCGGGCAGGTTGGGTGTGCTGGGGACGGGGTGGGAGGTGTAGGAGAAGATATGAGAGTGGATGGAAAGGATCTGTCTGTTGTGTTGTGGAGGTTCTTCCCGCCCCTTCCTTCCGCCGAGCCCCGCCAGGACAAGGATGGGAAGCTTTGCCTCTGAGCCTGTGCCTCACCCCTCCCTGCCCGGATTTTTTTTTTTTTTTGGTTTTTCTCTGGTACCGGGAACCCTGCCCGGATTTACATGGAGGATTCCCCGTGCAGGGGACTCTGGGTCATGCGGTGCCTCCGGCTCACTCGTGTCCCCATCCCATCCCCTCTGTGCCTCCCTTGTCCCCATTTCCTGGGACCCAGCTCCTCTCCCCAGTCCCCTCGCTCTGCTCCACACATGCTCCTTTGCACGTGCGTGTACACACACGTGTGTATGTGTGCGCATGTGCTCAGAATGGTTGTTTCTGCCATGAAAAGAATGTGTCTGTGTTGGGTTTGGCCAGTTGCCTGTATCCGTTGCTGCTCTGAGCTTCCCAGCCCGGCATTCCACACGAGGGTCCCTGGCCTTCGGAAGGCCGCAGGAATGTCCGCACCCCCTGACTCTGGCCTAGCCTCCCCTTTTCAGAGTTTAAGAAAATAAAAGTGAGTGAAAGGTTTGCTTCCTCGTGCAAGCCTTCTGAGGGGGAGACGCAGGGAGGAGGTGGCGTCATGCGGAAGGTGCCCTGGCTGCCCCTCAGAGGAAGGTGGAGAGTCGTTTTCCAGGGACAGCAAAGCTCTGGAAGAGAGAAGATTCCGAGGCACAGTGGGAGGAGCACACGGAGGGGCGTTGCTCTGCACTCAGTGTCTTAGCCCATGGTCTTCTTGTCCTCTAAGTCATCAGCAGGCCGTTCTGAGAACTGGGGCATTTGGGGACTTGGCTAACAAACAAACCTCCTCTGCAGATACCAGGCAAGGGCGATGTCTCTGTGAAGTGTCCTTGCAGTGTGAGACCCTGTGCCCCTCCCGGGCATGAAGGATGGGGCTGCCCTCCCGGGTCTGACCCGCAGGAAGTTGTACCAGAGTCCGGCTGGTCTGAGCAGAGTCACTCCAGGGGGCGGGCTGTCCTAACCTTTGGCATTGATCCACTTTCTGGGAATCTGGGAAAGTAGGAGCGAGGCCCTGGGAAAGAGAATGACTATCTCAGATACAGGAAATGCAGAGGCTTGGAGGATCCCGAATATGTGTGCGTCCAAACCAGTGACGGCTGCGCCGCAGTACCCGCGGGGCCCTTTCCAAAGGGGCCTCCCTGGCCTGCATGGAGTACAGAGAGGTGCTTTGCTTTTGCTTTTCTGGAAGGAGCACAGTGTGTCCCTTTTCCTACTTGCACACCCATGGCTCAGCACCTCAGTGATTCTGGGACATGATTCTGTGTGGCCCCGTGTGAAAAGGCAGGGAAGGAAACTTTTGGCCTCTTTCCTGGAGCAGAGCAGAGAGGAGAGGTAGAGGTTTGGAGTGCAGGGGGGATTCAGCCCCTGTCTGCAGGTCTAAAAGCCTGGCCATTGTAGTATGCGCTGTCAGGGGACAGCTGGGGTTAGGAGAGCGCTGGGCATCTCCACAAGGAAAGAACTGGGTCGACTTGGGTCTTCTGTCCATCTGGAATTTTAGGAGCGGGTCCCTGGTACCGTGTGGAATGAGATTGATGACATGCAGGTATTTCGGATTCTGGACCTAGAGGATTTTGAGAAAATGTTTTCGGCCTATCAGAGGCATCAGGTAAGACCTTTCCCCTCTGACTGCTTGGGTCTTGACTCCCACACGCCGTACCCCTTGAACTTGAACCTTAGCCCTTTCCTTCCTCCCTTTCTTCCCTGCTTCCCTCTCTCCTCCCTGGCTGCTTCCTCCTCTCTCTGTCTCCTCCCTCCCTCCCTCCCTTCTTCGCTTCCTTGCACAGATACTGAACAGTGCAATTCTTTATGGGGTGCCCTGTTCCTGAGGAGGCTATAGCTATATGGGCCGGAGGGGGCAGTCACAGTGCATTACAGTTTGTATTCACCTGTCCATTGATGAAGTGGTGCTCTGTCCCTTTTTCCCTTATGCCCCAGAGCACTGGAGGTGGCATCTTAATGCCTGGCCACCACTGTCCCCTGCTGTCTTTGGCCGAGGACTTAGAGATGACACACACAGGCCATTGTAACTTTTCAATCCATGTTTTCCACCATATTCTCCTCTCCCGATACCCCACTAGTGCTTTGAGCAGAGGTGTTGATGATGTAAGGAGGTTGGGGGTTGCTGCTCCTTGTCATTTAGTGGATTGAGGCGGGGGTGGGGCCCTGAAGGGCCAGACAGGCCCTTGATCGACCCTGCAGGCTCTATATTCACATGCCTGGCCCATGAGTCTGGCCCTGCAGCCGCAGAGGGGGTTGGGGCTTGGGCTGGGCAGATACAGGGCATTCCTGAGGTATGGGTCTCAAACTATGCCAAGGACCTGTGCTGAGGGAATTGCCAGAAATGCCGATTCTCAGGGCTCTCCTTCAAATACGGGATATGATTTTAGAGATGAGTTTGGACCCAGGAACTTGAGGGTAACTAGCATGCCTGGAGTCCTTTGCGCTAAGACCAGTTTGGGAATGACCAGCCTAGAGGCCTGAAGGTCCTTGCTTTCTCTCTGAGCCTCCTGCTCTGGGGCCACTTCCCCTCGGCCCGGGCTGTTATCTTCCTTGTTTTCTCTGTTCAGCCCGGGCTCACACTCAGGACTCCAGTACCAGTGGTGAGCTCTGGAAGGGCTGCCCTGCCCTGCTTCTCCCGAGTGCAGACCTATGGATGACCCTTCCCGAGGGCAGACAGGGCCAAGGACCCATGGGGCTGCATCTCCAGCTCTGATGTGGGAGGCCTAGAAAGAAAACAGATTTAAATGTGGGTGTTCGAGGCATCCGATTCTCTGCTCCTGAGTCCAGAAGGCAGTGCAGACCTTGCCCGTGATGGGGCAGGCACGGCCTCCCCAGGCCCCACTGAGGCTCCGGAGCTGGAAGGATTCTGTAGCCTTGGGCTTCTCGGAGTCCGAGCCCCCATGGGCCCTGGGGACAGAGGAGCCTGTGCAGGGGTGGCTCCGGCATGGTGGCCGCACGTCTCCCTCTAGTTCAAGTCTTCCTCCAGGGCTCTACTGCTGGTCTGTCCTGTCCAGTCTACAAGGCAGGGGTGGGGGGAGTTGGGAAAGAGTGTGTTGGGGGTTTAGGCCAGACCAGGTCTGGGGTCTCTACCAGCTTGCTGAGTTGAGAAGAACTGAGACCCAAAGTCCCCTGCTAGTCCTTGCCGAGCCCACTCTGCAGGGTGTGAAGTCTGCCCTGTCTTGGGGATGGGAGTCACCGAGCAGAGCAGGGGTGACCCCAGAGGTGGCATTCTGCTTGTCACCTCTGTGTCTCTGGGGCCCTGGACGGAGGTTCTGGGAGCCACGGCCTTAGCTCTGTGCCCAAGGCAGATTCTGAACTGGTGTCGTCAGCTCCCTCAGCATGCGGAAGGGAGGACACATTGTAGCTGGGCCTATGCAGCTCCCTTAGATGTCACAGGACAGAGGAGGGTGAGGAACACACTCAGGGATGCTTGCTTTTCCTGCCCCTGTGAACAGGCTCTCCTGAGCTACTCGCTCTGATCCCTTCTGTCTCCGCCACACTGGGAAGTCACCTCACATACTTCGGGCAGAGTCTCAGCAGAAGGGCGGAAGGGCGGGAAGGCAGGGTGCAGGGTGGGGATGCCGGGGAGCCCTGGAGTGCCCCGGTCCAGGTGCATAGAAGGAGCTGGTCACCCTCTGCTTGTTTGTCTTTCTGTGAGCACATCATGGCTTTGGGGTTCCCATCTCCAAGCATGGGGTCCCATGGGATTAAGGTGCACAGAGTAGATGCTGAAGACCCCCACATCCATCCTGCTGTCCCCGTCCCTGAGCCTCAGACTAACGTTGTGCATGTTTAATTCTCTGCCGGCTGTGGCTGCTGCCTGCCTAGGAGCTGATAACTAATCCTTGTCAGCAGGTGAGTCACACTGGGCTCTGAACCTTCCAACTCCCAGCCGGGGCCCAGCAGAGAGGGCCTGTCCATGTCACCTCCTGGCTTCTTGCTCATCCCTGTAGGGCAGGATGAAGTGACGGGAAGCGTCTAGAGCTCTGATCTTACCCGCCAGGCTCAAGGCAAGGAATTCTGTAAGGCTGCTCAGGTTGGGCAGCTCTAGGGGCACAATTCAGGAAGACGGTGACGTGATTTGTGCAGTGTGGAGCATGGGCTTGGAGGAAGCACCCTGAGTAAGAGTGGTGCTTCACCCAGCCACCTGCCCCCACTGCCAGGACCCATGAGAAAGAGGGGTAGAATCTTAGATTTCTTGAGGGTCTGCCAGTTATACCCCAGAAAAGGGAACTCTGGGTGTACTTCTGCCTCAATTTCCACCCTTTTGACCCTGCGATGTTGGGCATATCAGCTGTACCTGGAGTCCCCAGAAGTCAGGAGCTGTGGCCTTACAGGGTTTGGACCAACTTCCCGTCCTAAGCCTGGGAGGCCCTTGGGTGGGGGCAGTGGGAGTTGATCCCGTGGTGACTGTGGTAGGCCATGTGGCCCTGCTGATGTCACAGGGTCAGTCACAGCTTCTCCACCCCCCAGCTGCTCCCCTAGAGGGCTGACAGTCTGATCTCTAACCGCAGGCTCTGGCTCTGCACGCATATGCTCTCCCTCTCCAGCCCAGGATAAAGCCCAGAGCCCGCCCGCGAGGGTTGGTTGTCAAACACCCTACTCTCGCCCTTTGTCCCTCGCTTTCTCTCATACCCTCTGATCAGAAGCATCCTTAGGTTGGCAAGAGGGAGGTCCCCGGGGGTGGGCAGGCAGAGGACTGGGGAGCCCCCCACTCCACGTGCTTCCTCTTGGTTCCTTGTTTGCAGAAAGAGCTGGGCTCCACCGAGGACATCTACCTGGCCTCCCGCAAGGTCAAAGAGCTGTCAGTCATTGATGGCCGGAGGGCCCAGAACTGCATTATCCTTCTCTCCAAGTATGTATCCACCCTGGGACGCTGCCCTGGGGAGCTCCTGATGGGAAAGAATGGACGCTCCGGGGAGCAGAGCCCCGAGATCCAGCCAGGGCTAGGGCAAGTGGTGGCTGAGCTGAGTGCTTGGGGTGAGAGAGAGGTGATGGCTGGAAAGTAGGGTGATGGCAGCCTCTACCCAACTCCCCTCCCTCTAGAGCCTTGTCTTGGGAACCCTCCTGGAGCCGCAGACTTGTACTCTGCCCAGGAACCTGCCCCAGTCATGAGGCCCTGGGCGGCCCGGTCAGTGCCTGGCAGCTGAGTTGCTCTAAGCCTATGGAGGACCCAGCTCGGTTTAGGCCAAGGAGCACCATGATATCAGCCCCTAAGCATTTCCCGCGGCTGCAGAACAAACAGGGCAGTATCTGTGCTAACAGCACAGCCTCTGTGCAGGGCCTCCCAGAGCCAGGGTCAGGGCGACCGCCTCCCGTGCTATTCTTAGTGCTGCCCCGAGCGCCTCTGGAACATCTGCCCCGCCTGCACTCCCCTAAGTCCTTAGTTTCTCCCATTTGATGGTGGGGGGCGTGCTGGCACGCACACCGGCAGAGGGGACGCAGGGCCGTGGGGGTGTGGGGGGCTGTTGGGGGCTGCCACACCCCTTCCCAGACAGCAGGGCCACTCAGAGCAGCTCTGTGGGAGCGAGGCGCAGTCAGGGTCTGACAGCCGTTCTCTCTCCTGAAAGGGAGGGACAGGAAATGGTCCCCTCGGGGGCCTGCTGAAGTCCCGTCCTCCTGTGCAGATGCTGTAGATGATTACGGCACAAGGGGGAGAAAGAGGGTCAGAAGCCCCTTCCCTGTGCCTTCAGTCTCCACGGAAGATGTCCTCTTCCCCCCAGGGGCCCCCAGCCTCTCTGAGGAAGCCTCAAACAACACACCAGGAGCTCAAGTCCTGATTCTGACACTAAAGAGCTCGTTACTGAGTACGCGGAGTGAATCCCCTTAGGCCCGTCCGAGAAGGTTTTGCAGGGAGGAGTACCACTAAACTGCTCCCTAGTCCACATTAGGGAGAGAGCAGAGCACGTGGCCATGAGGGCTGGACAGGAAGGTTTGGAGACTTCCTTGAGCCCAGGGGGCAGGCTGCTCAGGGGTGGGCTTTGCCTCAGGTTGAAGCTTTCTAACGAGGAGATCCGGCAGGCCATCTTGAAGATGGATGAACAGGAGGACCTCGCTAAGGACATGCTGGAGCAGGTGAGGACCGGGTGGGTGGGAAGGGAGCAGCCGCAACCCTTTCCCGATAGCCCCCAGAGAGTCTCAGACTCTTGGCTCCGGGAGGAATCAAGCCGGGGGAGTTGGAGAGCTGGTTTCTAGAAAGTTCCCTGCTTAAGCCTTTCTGGGAAAAGGCTGGCAAAATCCGCCAGGGAACTCTGAGAAGGCTGGAAGGAGGTTTGAGGCAAAATCTTTCATAGGTCACAGGCCAAAGTCAGGGCAACAGTAGTCATTTCTTCTGCAAATCTCGTGTACCTCATTTGTTAAGAGACACCCAGAAAATGCCAAGCAGAAGTACTGTCAATTAAAAAAGAACTGCTGTCTATCAAAAGGCACAACAGTATTATTACAGTGAGAAGACAAGCCACACCATAGAAGATGTTTGCTACACACACACACACACACACACACACACACACACACACGTGCGCACATACACTTAACAAGTATTTCATCTTCATGAAAAAGAACTCTACAAATCAATGAGAAAATGACAAAGCAACTTAAAAATGAGCAAAAGACTTGAACAGGCACTTCAGGAAAGAGGATGGCTACATGGCCAGTGAGCATTTGTAAAGATCTCAGTCCTCTTAGCCATCAAAGAAATTGTTGCGAGCCGCAGGGAGAAAACACGCAGCAGAAGATTAAAATTTAACCAACTGACCGTGCTACATGCTGGCAAGGATGCGAAGTGATTGGCATCCTCACTGGCACAGGCATTGTGGAAAACTGTTTGGCAGGGCACATTAAGGCTTAACAGACACTCACCCTATTACCCAGTAACCTCACACTTTGATGCATACTGCAGAGAAACCAGCGTAAACCATGGTTAAGAGACACACGCACAAGTATTTACAGCAACTTTATAAAACCCCCAGAGCGTGAGCAAGCCAACTGTCCATCAGTAAGTGGGCAAATAGACTGTGGTGTGTTCATACGGTAGAATACTACTCAATAACAAACACAAACTACCAGTACTCAGCAGGGAGGGCTGCTTTACACATTTCACATCACATTGTGTGAGAGAAGCCAGACGCAAAAGACAACATACAATATCACCGCCCATCTTCTGGTAGGGTAATACGGGAGGTAGTTTGAGGCCAGAAAGTCCAGGAGTTGCTTGGCACCTGGTCACTCAGAGAAAGCAGCCTAGCTTGGGTCTCTTATAAAACCACTAATGCCATTATGGGGACCTCACGCTCATGACTTTAACTTAATCCTAATTCTCTCCCAAAGGCCCCACCTCCACATGCCATAACCAGCTGAACTTGGGGGTTATGCTCCCAACACATGAACTCAGAGGGGACACATTCTTACCAAAGCACCTGGGATGAATTCATCGATAGGAAGTTCTAGAACAGACAGATCTAGGGCGGTAGAATTCAGTTGAGGCTATGCTGGGGGTGGGGGCAGCTTTATGAAGTGAAGCCAGAGAACTTTCTAAGAAGAGGAGAATATTTTGTATCTAAATCTGGTGTTTCAGTGGGTGGAGAGTTTTGACAAAACTCACCGAGCTACGCATTTAAACTGGGTGTGTTTTATGGAGATTATATCTCAATAAAGTTTGCCGAAAGAGAAACGTCATTGATCTGTGTACTTCAGAACAGTGTACTTTCTGTAAGTTATAGCTCAGTTTCAGAAGGTGAGGGAAATCAGGGAGTCAAGGACTGGGTGCCCCGACATCCCCTCCTAGCAGATCCTGTCCACACCACGCGAGGGTCCCTCTGTTCATCCTGAACAGAGTCAGTATGTGGGCTTCTCAAACCCTGCACCCCTGGATATGCTACCCAGTGGCTTCTTGTCTGACCCACCCCTTCTCTCTGCAGCTCCTCAAGTTCATCCCTGAGAAGAGTGACATTGACCTCCTCGAGGAACACAAGCATGAGATTGAGCGGATGGCCCGAGCCGACCGCTTCCTCTATGAGATGAGCAGGTTGGGGTCTTGGGTGTGGTGGGAGGAGCTGGGGTTGCGCAGGTAGCCCTGGCAGGGAGGGAGATGAGCAGGCTCAAGAGCAGGCTTGAGATGACGCTTCGCCCTGCCCCCAGGATCGACCACTACCAGCAGCGACTGCAGGCCCTGTTCTTCAAGAAGAAGTTCCAGGAGCGGCTGGCAGAGGCCAAACCCAAAGTGGAAGGTAGGGCTGACGGCTGGAGGAGGCCTGGGGTGGGAAGGTGTCTGAGAACCAACGTGAGGGGGCAGAGGGAAACGGCTTCCTTATTCTTAACCCAAAAGAAATACCAGTGTCAAGTGCAGAATGGAAAACTATGATCCTGATAGGAAAATGCCCTGGTTTCTATGGGCATGTGTGCCAACCGCGTGACATGCTCTATGCCTCAGCGTTCGGACCCTGCAGGGAGGGGTGTCTGTTGGCGTCTGTCCCAGTGTGGGGCAGAATTGATGTGCATGTAGCAGAACCACGCCTGTCACGCATGAACGCATCCCTCCGTACCTAGCTGAGAGGTTCTAAGCGCATTACAGAAGCTATCCTGGGATATCGCTTTCAGCGTGAGCCACTCAGAAACGGATAAACTGTACGAAGTGATCTCTGGCGGTGCGGATTTTCTGGCCGGGAGAGCTCCTCTAACACAGGCTGTTTCCAGAGGAGAAATGTGTAATTTCTGAGGCCCCTGTGTCAAACGCTGTGTGAAACACTGTATGTGAATGGTCTCATTAGGTCCCCACAAGAACCCCAGGGGTGGGTGCTGTCATTACCCTCTGCTGGCCTCCTTTCTCTGTCTCCAACGTGGGCTGTGGTAGTTACCATGTTACTGGTGGGTGGTAGAGCCAGGATAGGAATCCAGGTGTTGCCCAGTATGCATCTCCCTGGGGCTGCCTGTGGGATGGTGGTGGAGGCTGGGGCAGGGGGTTGTGGGAAAACGCAGGAGGGCATGATGGTAGGCAGAAGCGAATGAGGCTGGCAGGCTCATTTGGGGTGAGGATGAGACCGCAGGGCTGAATAAGCCAGGTCCAGATTCTGAGGGTTCAGGGCTGGGGGGCCAAGCAGTGCATAGCGCCCCCTGCTGGATACCAGAGAGAGGCCATATGAATACTCCATGAGATGCCTGTCCCGAGAGAGAGGCCATTCCTGGGGTTCAGCGGGCTGCTTTGGGGAGGATGGAACCTGCAGACATTTTTGGTAATCTTCACTCTATTCCTCTGTCTGTCTGTCTGTCTGTCTGTCTCTCTGTCTCTGTCTCTCCCTCTCTCTCTCTCACACATACACAAGTGCACTGGTTCAGGCAGCGAAGGACCTGCAGGCTGTGATCATAGATAATCAGTCTGAGGGGCAGGAGAAAATATCAGGAGCTTCTGTCATTCCTAAGGTCTAGCAGTTTCTCTTTGTTCTGGTGATATGTGGATCCTTATCTTCATCTCTGCTTTCCTCCACTGCAGACTGTCCTTGGGGCATGAAGCGCAGATTAAGGGGTTCAGCCTAAGGCGCGTGTGCTCAACTATCTGAGTATGTTGAGTCAGCAGAACAGATGTGCACAATTGCCACTTGGAGCTGAGGAAGCTGAGTAGCTTAAGGATTAGAAAGGCTTAATCCCAGGCTGCTTCTTGCTCCCTGCAGCCTCCTTCTAAACTCTCCTTAAGAGTTAGCGAGTAGATGCTGTGTAAAGCCTCCTATTAATATCGAGCTCTGCAGAGCAAGATGTGTTGATGAGAACATAACTGCTGGGGAAGGTTGCTGTTCCACAGCTCTCAAGAAGATTTGTTTATCTAGAGTCTTTCGGGGCCACTGTCCCCAAATGGCCCAAGAGTGAGGTAGGGAAGAGACACCTGAAGTTGTTTGAGGTATGATTGAAATATATTTTGAATATTTTCAGTTTTTACAATGTATCACAGTCAAAGACACAGTGGCATGAATCCCCCTCAAAAAAAAAATCCCCCTTGCTTCAAACACACTCGTCCCATCATTCTTGCCACTTTCTGAAGCAGTTCTGGAAGTCCTCTTTCGTGAGTGTCTGTAGTTATGCTGTTGTAGCTGCCACTCTGTCCTGAACTGATTCAAAACATTTACCTGTCATAGTTATTCTAGTTTTGGGGAAGAGCCAGAAGTCGGCTGGTGCCAGACCTGGTGAATAAGGTGGATGAAGACACAGTGCCATGTTTGGACCAGCCTGCTTTTCTGCAGGGTGGCACTTGTCAGCAGCATTCACTGCATTTTTGATCACAGCTTGTGAAAACACCCACCAAAGAGGGCTTCCAGAACTGCTTCAGAAAGAGGCCAAGAGTGATGAGATGAGTGCTCAAAGTGAGAGGGAAGATTTGGAGAGAAGTTTATGGCAGTGTCTTTTACAGTAATAAATTACTTTGAACAATTTAAACACTCACTATATATTTTGATCACAGCTGGTGTAGAACTGGATCAGTGTGGGCAACTGAGTTGAAAAGCAGGGGATTGGGCAGGAGTTAAGATTCCTGTTCCTCCTCCTCCTCCTCCTCCTCCTTCTCAGGGCAGATACTCCTGGAGGCGATAAATTTAACCTGTGCCCCCAGAGTCCTGAGCTGTGACACTGCTCTCCCTTCCTCCAGCAGAATGGGGAGGAAGCCAGTTTGCCAAAAGCCAGCGCTCCCCATATGACAGATTTACCAATTTTTCTGTAGATATGCTCATGATTGTATTCTTGAATGTATTCTTCTTATGAATATGCTCACCATTTCCTAGGCCAAATTTACCGATTCTTATTATGAGTGCTTTCACTGAATAGAGTCGAGATGAATATGGTCGCAAAAGTAATATTCTTTTGAATACATTCATGGATACATTATTCTAGTGAATGTATCTAAAATGTCCTGGTTGCAGATGGGAAGTTTTCCCATTTACACTGGTTTCCTCTGAATTCTTGTCATTTTCTGTTTTGCCAACATTTTAGCATTTTTAGGAGGGTTCCTTTGCAAATTTTTCAGATAGTAATTCAGCCTTAGAAAAGTCATCCCAAGATATATAGCTTGCTGGAAGCTTTTATAAGTGATTTTTTTTCCAAATCAACTCTTTGTTGAAATATGATATGCATGTATAAAAGTACAGCAATCCTAAGATTTGATGAATCATTATGAAGTGGAACCCCGCTTGTGACTGACATTCAGGTCCAGATGTGGAATGTTTCCAGCTCTAGAGCCCTCTTCTCTTCCTGTCCTTCTCTCAAACATTTCGCCCTCCATCCCACAAGGAAAGGAGCTATCTTGACTTCTAGGTTGCTTTTGTCTGTTTTGAACTTTATATACCTGCAATAATGTGATATGAATAATTTTACGCTGGCTTCTTTTGCTTAGTATTATGGATGTGAGTTAATCCAGGGGGGAATTCATTTTCAGTGGTTCATTTTACTCCACTGTATATTATAATTTACCTGTTCTATTTATAATTTTTTAAAAAAATCTAAGAATAGCTCAACTATCCTTACTAAAAGCATCAACTATCCATTACTAAGAGTAATGTTGCTGTCTTGGTTACTTTTCTGTCCTTGCTGAGACAAAATACCTGACACCCAGAATGAAGGAAGGAAAGGTTTATTTAGCTCTCACAGTCTGTGGAGGTTTCAATCCGTACTGGGCTGGCTCCAAGGCAGGGTGGCACATGGCAGAGGACAACAGTTCATGGCGGCAAAAAACAGCAAAGCAACAAGAGCAAATAAGGGAGGAGCAGGTGGGCAGGATCTTTCCCACCCTTAAATTGTATGCAAACTACCCACCCCAGGGGCAGGTGAAGCACTCACACCCATAATCCTAGCATTGGACTATGGATCAATCAAAAATCTAAAAGCCTGCCCCATGACTGCATGGGGATTTAAGGGGACAAGCAGACACAAACCATAACAGCTGCTTTTGGGTCATATGCATGTGTTCAACTTAGATGCAACAGACAAAACTTATTTATAGCTTCTTTTGTACAGTTACTTTTTTTTTAACTGCTTCAGACTGAAGTTGAGTGGGTTTCTTTTTATCTTTTGTATTGGTCAGTTTTCTGTTGCTATGACTCAGATGCCTGTGAAAAACACCTTAGAGGGGCAAGTATTTATTTTGGCTTATGGTTTCAGAGTGCTGAGTCCATGGTCAGCCATCTCCAATGCAGAAACATCATGGTGGATGGGCACGGTGGAGGAAACCTGCCTACCACAGGGTAGCCAGGAAGCAGAGAGGAGGAGGAGAGCCAGAGGAGAAGTTGGGGAGATAAAATCTTCAAAGACCCAGTAACCTACTTTTTTCATAGGCCTCTTAATAGCCCATTCAGCCATGAGCCCATGAGTAGATTTATCCTTGGGAATCAACCCTTAGAACATGAGTCTTTGCGGGCGGCGGGGGGATTTCACATTTAAACTATAACATCATTATAAGCTTCATTAGGGATTTTCAGTTTGGCTTTAGCTAGTCATTACTTTTTAATATTTAAAAAAACATATTCCATGACTAGTAGTCAAAATCTCAGTGCAGGAATTTGAACTCACTTGTGCACATTAACTAAGGAAGGGCCAGAGTGTACACATCAGAATGGACTATTGGTTTGTATTTCTGGCAATGGGCATTGGGGGAAATGGTTAAGATGCCTAACATTTGGGGAAAGTTTTAAAATAGAATTGTATTTTTAAATTATGGTTTTAATTTTTAAAATATTTCAATTTTTAATTATGTTTGAGTGTCAAGTTATATCGTCAAATCTAAGACACTATCCACTCTAAATCACACTGTTACTTTATTGAGCAAAGAAAACCTGTGAATAGTCTCCAGTAACATAATTTTATTGGTGGAGTTGTCTTTCCCCAAAACAATAGAAGTTTTCTTTTTTTTTTTTCCCCCCCCGGTACTGGGAATCGAACTCATGACCTTGTGCTTGCCAGGCAGGCGCTGTGCTGCTGAGCTGAATCCCCAGCCCTCCAACAATAAAAGTTTTAAGTGCTAGGTTTAAAAGCATTACATTCAAGGACATATTGACAGCAAGACTATACTAGCGTACCAGCTTCCTGCGAATGTATTTGAAAATGTTTCATCTTGCATATAAAGACTGAGTAAGGGTCGTCAGTGACTTGGTCTTTGGTGGTGTTATCTGCTTCCCTGGAGGTAGGAACAAAAGGAAGGGCTCACTGAAAGTTTGTAAGGTTTCTGCCCCCCTGAGATTCAAAGGCACTTGCTAGTCCCTCTCTGAACTTTGGCGTGTCCTGACCCAGTCTGTGCCGGCTCTGACCTGTTCACCTCTCCCAGCCATCCTGCTGGCCTCCAGGGAGCTGACGAGAAGCAAGCGTCTAAAGCAGATGCTGGAGGTCGTCCTGGCCATTGGCAACTTCATGAACAAGGGACAGCGCGGGGGAGCCTATGGGTTCCGGGTGGCCAGCCTCAACAAGATCGCTGACACCAAGTCCAGCATTGACAGGTGCGGACCCCCTGCTTCCTCAGCATCTCCCCCACCTTGACTCGACCCCTCCCCCATTCTCACCCTCCATTTCCCTCCCCTGGACTCCTCATCTATTCCCCTCTCACCCCCTTAGCTTCCTCCTGACCCCCATGCCAGTTTCCCTGGTCTCACCTCTGGCCTGACTCATCCACAGAAACATCTCTCTGCTCCATTACCTGATCATGATCCTGGAGAAACATTTCCCTGACATCCTGAACCTGCCTTCAGAACTACAGCATCTCCCGGAAGCTGCCAAAGTCAAGTGAGGGTTTCCCCTTCCATGGCTTCCTTCTCCCCGCTTCCTACTAGGGATGGGCAGTGCTTTGGGGTCTCCTTTTGGGAGAACTAAACAAACATAATGTGCTCTTAAATCCTTGTTTCCAAGATGATTCCAGAAAATACTAGTCAAGGGGTAGGCGGCCAGTAACAGGAATGATATTAAGACCACTGCTGCTGCAGGCTTCACCCCACTAGGGAACTCTGGGAGACAGTGTAGAACACTCACCCTGGTCATGCCACCCAAGGGGTGAGGGCACCAGGTAGTCCTACAAACTCCCACACTAGTCACTGACTGCAGGAACTGTGCCATAACTCTCTGGTCATGGGTACAGGCAGAGGACACTGACCCAGACATTATCCCCCAGACCATTATCATGAATTTGGGGACTTAAATTTCCAATATGAATGCTCGCCCAGCTGGAAGAGTCAAAACCATGCACTTTACTGGGTTGGACACCAACAGCAGCTACTGTAGAAATCAGAGCTGAACATAGAGGGATGAGTAGAAGCCATGTCCAGCAGTGCCGGAAGTGTGGTAAAGGCTAACAGGTATCCAATGCTCACTGCACTTAAGATGCTCTATGTCTCAGTCTGTTGTCTGTTGCTGTGACAGAATCACTGAGACTAATGTATAATTATAGGAGTCGAAGCTAGGCATGGTGGTGCATACCACAACAGGACAGAGCAAGCATGCCAGCTCAGCTCTCTCCTTCCTCCTTAGGCCCCAAATGCCATCTTGGTACAGCACTCTCATGACTTTATCTAACCCTAATCCCACTGAATTTGGGGACTTCAATCTCCAATATGAACTTCTGGCGGGGTGCAGTCAAACCACAGCCCCCTGCTGGGAGCTGAGAAGCATCACCAGCAACAATTAGATCTAAGTCAGCGCCCGTGTGTTAGAAACCTTCTGCTACGCAGCAGGGCATGTCTGACCAGGCAGGATCTACGGGACAGAACTTTCATTCCTGTTATTGTGTGAAAGTGCCACAGTTTGGAGAGAAGTGATTTGCCAGGGCCACACGTCTGTCCACCGACACCAGGCCCTTGAGCTTGTGTGTCACCCTGCCCCTCTCCCGGAGCCAGCTTTGGCTCCTCACACCACAGCTGGTTTCCTTCCTTTCTTCCCATCTCTCCCCACACAGCCTGGCCGAGCTGGAGAAGGAGGTGAGCAACCTCAAGAAGGGGCTGAGAGCCGTCGAGGTGGTGAGTGTGTGATGTTACATCTGCCAGGGATTGGGGGATACTCTGGAGAGGTGTCTCCTGCTGCCTGAGACATTTTTGTGACCCAGGGCTGCCTGAACAACTGGCACAGTGGTACCGCCCTCAGGAAAGGGTGACTGGGTGTTTGTGGTTTAAAGGGAGGCATCCATTTAACACTGTTTCTGCATCACCAAACAATATGGCACCCATATAGTGACATGAACGTGAGTCTGCCCCATGTCTGTCCTCAGCTTCCCTGTCCAGTAGAGTCAGTGTGGACCACTGTCCCCAGAAGGCCCTGTGTCTCTCCACCTTATCCTGGGGCTATGGGAAGACCCAGTGCTCTCTGTCCCTTCACGCTGCTGTAACAAATGCCATGAACTGAATGGCTTAGAAGCAAGAAACAGTTTTACTTCTGACAATGCTGGAGCCTGGGAAGCCCAGCATCAAGGTTCCAGAAGATTCAGTGTCTGGTGAGGGCCTACTCCTCAAAGATGGCGCCTTCACCCTGTGGCTTCCTGTGGTAGAAAGGGCGAAGTTCCTTGGTCTGTTTTATAAGGGTGAGAATCACATGGTGTGCTCATGCCCCAGTCACCTTGGGAAAGACATCACCTCTGGAGACCTTCACCTGAAGGGGTTAGGATTTCAACATAGGAACTCTGGTGGGGAAACAATTCGGACTCCAGCACCAGTCTCTGGTCCCCACCATTCCCGCTCTGATGGCTTCTCAGCTAATACTACCAATGGCCCAGAGGTCTTCATGCTTGTATCCTTCAAAACTAGGGACTAGAGACTGTCCCCATCTTCACTGTGAAGGTGGGCGGCAGGGAAAGGGAACCCAGAGACCAGGCTTAAGTGTAAGAAAGTACATTCTTTTGCCACCATGGAGAATGGAGGGTGACTTCCAAATATCCGACTCTGTAGTCCTTTGAAATACCCAGAGTGTGGTCCGTGGTCCGGCAGCATCTGAACCAGCTGGGATCTTTAGTATATGGATTAGCAGGGTCTTTCTGATCACCTGTGGGTCTTGTTCAAGTGCAGGTTCTGCTCCACTGGTCTGGGGCAGGGCTGAGAGCCTGCATCTCTTGAGATTTCCTAGGCAATGCTGCTGGCCTCAGACCACACTTTGGTAACGAGGCATTAAAGGATGAAAGATGGCCATCCTGGTGGCCAGGGGACAGACAGAGGCAGGCAGATGGGCTGATGACCCGTATGGTCCTTGTCAGAATGCGGGGTTTCCCTCTTCTGCATGAGTGACACGGGGGAGACGGAGTGACCCCCGGGTACCTGCCTCTCACCCCGCATCCACTGAAACAGCCTTTACCTCTCCCTCCCCAGGAGCTGGACTATCAGCGACACCAGGTGCGAGAGCCCAGTGACAAGTTTGTCCCCATCATGAGTGACTTCATCACGGTGTCCAGCTTCAGCTTCTCAGAGCTGGAGGACCAGCTCAGTGAGGCCAGGGATAAGGTAAGGGCGTCCCACACCATTCCCAGTGCCCCTCCCCTCAGCCTTACCCAGCCGAAGCGCCTTCACCCTGGCTCCCAGACAGCCTAGCAGGCACAACCACAGGGCCACCGCTTAAGAGTCTGGATGACTGTCCCACCCCTTACCTTATGGGTCTGCTAAAAGCTCACAGTCCCATTCAACAGATGGGGCGAGGGTTAGGTCAAGGGACCTGTGCTCAAGATGCAACAATACAGCTGGGTGACAGTCCTGATGCTGTAGCCCAACTTTGTTTTTTTTTTTTTTTAATTTTAAAGATAAAAGGAGGGAAACATTAACAGACATACAACATTTTACAACATATCACAAGCACAATACAGACAATACAGAGTTACAAACAAAGTGGTAGGGAATTAACAATGGTGGGTGTATTACATATTGATATCTTCAAAGTGGCTTCTCATGAAAACAGATATAGACATGCAACACTGGTCAACCAAAGACTCATTGACAGTTTCTTTCAGCATAGAAATAGAAGACAGAAGAACAACCATGTTAACTATCCTGTATATACATACATACAAAATTTCTCCTTCTAGCCCAACTTTGGATCTGCCTCTAGCTGCTGCTCCCACTAACCGGGACACGGATCCATAGGGGACTTCTTAAACCGTGGGGGGAGGGCGAGGGCACTGAGATTCAGCATTTCCAACAGGCACCCGCGTCCTGATCCCAGGCCTTTCCTACGAGCCGGACTCAAGCCTTTCCTTAGCAATCTCTATCTCCGGGGGCCCCCACCCCAACTCGGACTGGGCTCCGCCCGTGACATCGCCAACCTGTCCCTTCCTTCTGCAGTTTGCCAAGGCCCTGATGCACTTCGGGGAGCAGGACAGCAACATGCAGCCCGAGGGGTTCTTCGGCATCTTCGACACCTTCCTGCAGGCCTTCTCGGAGGCCCGGCAGGACCTGGAGGCCATGAGGAAGAGGAAGGAGGAGGAAGAGCGGCGGGCGCGCATGGAAGCCATGGTGAGTGGCTGGGCTGGGCGGGGGCAGGGCGATGGGGTAGGCTGCGGTGGGGGCGGGCAGCACAGGGCCTGGGGCACACCGCGGGGCGGGGGAGCCTGTGACAGTCAGCCCCGGGCTGCGGTAGGCGGCCTGTGGGGTGGGCGGGCTGGCGTCCTGGGAGGGGCATGGTGCGCACCGGGCTCAGCCCCGCCTCCGCCACCCCAGCTGAAGGAGCAGCGCGAGCGTGAGCGGTGGCAGCGGCAGCGCAAGGTCCTGGCCGGCGGCTCGCTGGAGCTGGAGGAGAGCGGCGAGTTCGATGACCTGGTGTCGGCCCTGCGCTCCGGGGAGGTGTTCGACAAGGACTTGTCCAAGCTGAAGCGCAGCCGCAAGCGCTCAGGGAGCCAGGCCCCGGAGGTCACCCGCGAGCGGGCACTAAACCGGCTAAATTATTGACCTGGGGACTGGCCGCGCTGGATGCCACAGACGGGCGGGGCCGGGAGGGCGGAGCGGAGCAGGTGGTGAGATTTCACTCGGTGCTGGGTGTCGAGCCCAGGGCTGGGTCCTGGGGCGCGGACTCCCCCGCTTACCTTCAGGGGCTCCTCTATTCTTCTCTAAACAAGAGTCTTTCTGGGTCCTGGCCCTCAGGGGTCATTCTTAGAGCTCGCGTGGACAGCCCTGGCCAGGAACCTTAGGCTGTGGGGTGCCGGTCCCCCACCCCAGGCACCCACGTTCAGGACAGAATTGTTTCAGATCTAGACCCGCAAGGTCCATGGACCTTGGCCAGCTCTCCCGTGCCACGGGGAACGGCGGGGAGGAGGGTAGCTCCCTTGGGAGCCAGCTGAGGGATCCTGGCTCCCATCTCTGATCTGGGGCCAACTTTCCCCTTGGCTGGGAACAGGCAAGGCATCGTGTGTTAGAGCGGCGAGCTCAGCTCTGGCCTGTTCCAGAAAAGCCACCATGGTGCGAGGCTGAGGCAGGGCCCCAAGCCGGAGGACCGAGGAGCAGCTCCCCACACTGTGGGTCCGTTGGTCTCTCCCTCTCCTCACAAATCCATAGTCCGGAAACTCACCCTCGGGTTCCAGGGTTCTGACTCACTCCTGGGTACCCGCCGAACCTGCAAAGGGCGGGGTCCTAGACCGACCTCCATCAGCACATCTTATGCTTCAGGCACGGGGCCTTGTGATCACGCCCCACAGCGCCTGCCCACTGTCAGGGTGACACAGCGACACCACTTGTGGCCGATGGTGACACTTGAACGCCCCCCTCCTGCATGAACTACCCGGTCTACCACTCGGTATTATCACTTAGACCACTCCCTTTCCCTGACACCACAGGGCACAAGCCGCCTTGGCTGTCCATTCTGTAGGAGACCACTTGGAACTGCATGTGCCTGGCCCTGGGGAGTTGAGTCCTGAGGGCCTGCGCTGCCTTTAATGTCACCATTTCTAAGGGCGGCCTGTCTGTGTCGGGCCATGCAGACAGAGGAAGGCTGGCTTCGCTGGGGGTACCTGGTCTCTGGCGCTTGGTTTGGTTCTTCCCTGACTTTCAGGGGGCTTTCTGGTCCTCCCGTCCACTCCCTCCTTTGTGTCCATCTTGAGCTGTCCTCGAGGGATGGACGGGGTGGCCGTATGTAGGCTCATTTTTTAAATGGAGGGGGTGAGGTCCGTTCCCTGAAGGCTCTTATTTTCTGTACCGCCCCGGCCCTTCCTCTCCTGAGCCCAGCCTAGCCTGGTCTTTCTGCCCTGCTCCTCTGCCCTGGCGTCTTTACCAGAGTACAGACTGCTGGGCTAGGCTCACTCTTTTGCTGCTGTCTTTGCTCCGAGTCAGATGCCGGGGGTGGGGGAGGGGCGGTGGTGGCCACAGAGCCGCAGGGGAAGAAGTGAGGTTGGTGAGCCCAGCAAGTGTGTTGGTTTGCGGGGGCGGGCGGGTGTGCTCCGCTGGGAGGGATCTGAGCAAGTACGAGCCTGGCCATCGTAGGGCCCAGGAGAGGGCACGCTGAAGGCTTCTAGGAAGAGCAGCTGCAGAGAGTTTGGTGAGGCCCATCTGTACCCCATGTCCAAATCTTGGCCTTCCCACCCACCACGGAAGACCGGCTGTGCGCCAGAAAGAACAAGGAACAGAGAAGCTGTTTACGAGGCAGGCGGTCCTCAGAAAGGCGGAGGTCGGTGTAACTGTTTACAGAGGGTGCTGCATATGTTCTTCCAGAGCCCAGCCTTCTTGCCCCCAGAGGCTTTTTCTTTCCTATTTATTATTTTCCACATCTGGCCAATGGCTCTTGGTACTAGTTGATGCCATGGTAGCCAGATCAACAATGCCGTGGACCATTAAGCCCAACTCAGTAAAAAGGGTCTGGTGCCCATGAAGATGCTGAGCGGGTCCTTGATGTTAAATAAGGCTATTAGTACGTTCCCTGGTCTTCCTTTCCCCCGGCTCCCACTGCTCCAGCCCCCTCTGGGTAAGATTCCGCAGCTGTCAACCTAATGCAACCCTTCTTAGCGGCATGCACTTACTCCCTATCTACCTGTAGAAATATGTTTGGGAGAAAATTCTCCGGGCAGGTGGGGAAAGGCCTGGTTCAGGTTCTCTGTCCCACTGCCACCAACTGGGGAGCTGCGACCGTGTTCCCTGCCCTCTCCCAGGGATCTCCACCCACCTTCAGGCCAAGGCCGCTCTCACCAGCTGTCTCAGATGACAAATGAGGCTCATGTACAAAATCCGCAGTGTTCTTTCTACCTGCACCTTTTTATAAGAATATATGGTAATACTAAAAACTATTAAATCCATACCACCCCTACCCAGACTGCTTAGAAACGCGTGCTTTTTCCCAGAAGGGACTTGGGGTGGGTCAGGGAGTAGGCACAACCAGTGGTGGGCTGCAGCCAGCTCCGTGAGGGCTTCCGGTCACATTTTTAGGAATTCTGCAGACCGTTTGGTGTGACGGGGACAGCCTGAATTGGGAGTATTGGTAACACTGAAAATTGTCTTCCAGAAAGCCGTCTGTAGGTTGGCCAGCACACCTTGGCCCCAGGCAGATGAAAATAAGGCTGGGGGACCACCAGGGACAGACCCAAAGATGCTCATGCACAGGAAGGAGAGACCCAAGGAGGCCAGGTGCAGGTTTGGGGGTGGGAGAACCAGGAACCTCTAATTTGCTCTTGGTAGTTGTAGCAACCCTCAACCCCAACTCAGCCAAATCGATGCCAGGGTGCAATTCTGCAGAGGGGCAGGAGTGTAGGGAACCTGCCCTTGGCCCTGGCAGGGTCTCCCCCTACTCCCCCAGGAGAGGCTTAGGATGGAGGTGAAGGTGTAACAGTGTGGTGCCCTCCCCACAGATACAGACCTCATTCTTGCATCTCCAAAGTTGGCATCGTGGCTTTATTTGGGCACTGACAGAGTGAGAGTGACCTCCAACACTCTCTGCTCCCTGATATGTCCCAGGGTAAAGGGAGCGGGAGCAGGTGTGGCGGTCAGCCAGGATTCCTCAGGGTTGAGGCCATACCTGGGTCCTGCTAAGAGGAGCCCAATGCCTACAGGCTGGCTGGGGCCCAGACTCAGGCAAAAGGAGGGGACGGGTACCTCTTGAAGGAGGGACGGCAGAGATGTGGGGACTGTGGCTTCTCAAACTTGGGGAAGCAAAGCTGCTGCTGAGAAGCTGTGAAACATTCTTGGTGCAAGCATGTGCTTTTCCTTTCTCCAAGAGGGTTCCTTGGCGGAATGAGCCCTTATTCTTTCCCCCATAGAAGAGGAAGTGAAAACTCTGAATTACAGGCTAGGCTGAAGTGCATGCCTAAATAACGTGACAGGGTGTTCCAGGTATCTAGTGGTGCGCTTGGCGAACTCCATTAACTCAAGAGTTCTGGAAGGCTGTGAGGGCTGCTGGAGTCTGTTTCATATAAAGTGAACTCCACAGGTTATTATAGATCATCCAGTGACCAGCGGGCTTGACTTTGGGTTCCAACTGGTGAAGGTCATGCTTTAGTAACAGGTTGGAGGAACTTGGCATCCTTTCCTTGGCCCAAATTGTGTGCAGGTGGGTGGGAGCCCTACACCCGGTGGAAGTCCCCACGCTGGCCTCCAGTCTTACTGACGAGCTTGATCTCCCCGATCTCGATGTCCCTGCTGACAGCCTTGCACATATCATACAGGGTGAGGGCCGCCACAGCTGCGGAGGTCAGGGCCTCCATCTCCACCCCAGTGGGGCCCCGAGCCCGGCAGGATGCCCAGATCACTACAGCATGGCGCGAGGGGTCCAGCCTCAGCTGCACCTGGATGTGGCTCAGGGCCACGTGGTGGCACAGAGGAATCAGCTGGCTGGTCAGCTTGGCCGCCTGGACCCCAGCCAGCTGGGCCACCCCCAAGGCATCTCCCTTCTTTAGCTGGTTGTGCTGGACAAGCTCGAAGGCCACAGGCCCCAGAAGCACCACAGCAGAGGCCACCGCTTCCCGATCCGTGTCTGGCTTCCTGCCCACGTCGACCATAGCTGCCCGCCCTTCCGAGTCCACATGTGTGAGTTGATCTGAGGTTGCCCAGGGTCCTGAGGCGGTGGCAGGAGCCCGGGGCCCTGGACTAAGGCACGTTGAGGTGGTGTCCAAGTCTGCCCGGGAGCTGTAAAGTCTCAGAGGGGATCCAGCCCCCAGCCACAGCCAGGACAAAGGAGGGGCCTGGGGGGCCCAGTGTTCTTTCCACAAAGTTGCCATCGGGCGAGAGAGAAGCAGCCTGGGCCTCCGACCCCGAGCAGGGACAGGCCCCCAGGAAGTAACGACTGGACTGGCTGGTAGGGAATCTTGGAGCATCAAAAATAACCCTGGAAGGCAGGAAGCACAGAGAAGACAGACTCAGCCCAGAAGGCAATCCTTTTCCCGCCTCTTCCCAGCCCACATCTCACATCGCGAGAGGAACGCAGCGGGAGCAGCACAGTGAGAAGACAGAGAACAGCAGGCGGACGGGAGATGCTGAGTTCACGTTCACAGCCCTGCACCAGTGTGGCGTGGGGGTGGCCAGGCCCGGTGCTGGGGTTCTGCCTAGCTCCCGTTCTCCGAAGAAGCTCTGAGAGCCCACTGAATATAGGTTCATCTTCAGTGTCTCTTCATTTTTCTTACACTACATCTAGGTCTCACCCTAAGTTACCAATTACAGTTACCTTCACTTTCCTATTACTGGTGAGGGGTTAATAGTAATCATTTAGGATTCAAGATACTAAATGAAACAATGTCTTTCAAGTCCACCAAGCACATCAAGAGGCCATGAAAACTGACAGGCAGATTCTACCCGACCAGGAACCTTGGGAAGGATGCTCCAGGCTGCTGTTACTCCAAAGGAGGGCCAGGGACCAAGAGCACCAGTGTCTCCCAGGAACTCAGAGGTGGGGGCCCATCCTAGCTCTCCCAAGTCAGAATCTGAAACAAGACCCCCAAGTGGTCCCCAGGACAGGCAAGGTACAGGCCCTGTCCTAGGCAGCTCTCATCATACAGAACCAGACTAGCATACACTCCATTCCTGAGGTTAACGCCTTCCTTCCCCGGGTGGCTGGTGTGCAAAGGTGGTCCTGGGGCTGGCTCTAGCCCAGGCCAGCCCACTTTCCTGGGCACCCCTGGGCCCAGTTTTGCTCCAGCCTCTGGAGAGAAGCCCTCCTCCAGTTTTGCTCACTGCTCTTTATTGGCTGGTGCGCACTTTGGAGACCCAGATGTGGGTGTGATCAAGGGGGCAAAGCCTTGCTGCTCTCATCTGGACACTGTGCTGGGGGCAGAAGCGGCCCTCCAGCTCCTCATGGGTCGGGTAGGAGACCAGCTGTGGTTTTACCCAGAGGTATTTAGATCAGAACCATCGGTCTATGCGCATGAGCTCCATCCTGTGCACGTATGTTCCTGAGAGCTAACTGGACATTGGGAAGTGGCGATCCTGGCTGTCTCCTCCTGCCACAGTAAGGTGATTAGCTGGCTGTCAAACTGAGCCTGGCACAGATGTGCAACACACGGGGGGCGGGGAGTAGTCCAGACACGTGCGTGGGTCACCCCTTGCTGCAGTGGGGCAAGGATGCCTGCCTGCCAGTGTATCCAAGCTAGGAGACTCCACAGCTGAGGACAGGATCTCTACTTTAACCAAAGGCTCCACTGTTAATGAACTTAGTGATCATGAAATCTAGAGAACCCCCTTGCTGATTTCTGGTGGGAGGCAGTGGCCACGTTTCAGGTGTGTACGGCAAGGGGGAGCTGCAGACGGGGAAGACCCAGGGCTTAAAGGGGTAGGAAAAGATGGAGGAATAGGAGAAGAACACAGATGCAAAGGTCAGGATGAGATGCAGGAGCTGGGGGTGTCTCGTGGCAGGGGACCCCACCCCGCAGGATCCCCAAGTGACAAGGGTGAGTGGTTACGTACTGATGGGTCACCCACCGATGAGGATCATGGGCCGGTTCTTCATCTGGGCAATATTGAACATGCCTGGGGTAGGGGAAAGATGGGGGGCGGGGAGAGCGGAGGTGGGGAGGAGAGTAGGGAAGGGGGGAGGGGTGGGGGGAGAGCAGGGAGAGGGGAGAGGAGAGTTTGCTGAAATCAGTGGGTGACCAGAGCTGGCCCAATAGCCCAGGGTGCATGCACTCAGCTACGGGCATCCTGACACAAAGTTCCCCCATGCACCAGTGCGAGGCCCCCCAGGACAGAGCCCATAGGACAGTCAGTGCTGCCCTCCCCGGCAGAGGCACTGTGTGGAAACCGACAGGTAGTGACACCCTTGCCCTCAGCCCAGGAGAATTTCCGGGTGCGGCTAAGCAGCACTGGCTACGCCAATCTCCCCCAGGGAGACCCGTCCCTAGGTGCCGAGTCCAAAGCTCCCTTGGAAGCAGGCAGCAGCTGGGCTGACACGGAGCTTCCTCCTGGACTCTGTCCTCACACACCAGTGTTGCCAGGCCTCCCTCCCGGTGGCATGGCCCGCTTGCCCCTACCTGCGTGCTGCCGCTTCTTCCTGCCCACCGCGGCCCCGATGATGGTCAGCAGCTCCTCCTCAGAGGCGCCCGCCCGCAGGTGGTCCCGCAGCGAGACCTCCGAGTTCCCGAAGAGGCAGACCTGAGTGGGGTCAATGACAAGCGCCTTGCTCATCCCTGGGCCTCTGCATCTGAGTGAGCCCCAGGCTGCCTGCACACCAGCGGCCAAGCCTCCCACAGCGTGATCAAACCCACGGCCCTGAGGCACAGAGCTGCTGCAGGGAGGGGTCAGCGGGGTTGGAAGAGCAAGAAGGAAACCTGGACTTCCCAAGCCCAGTGTCTCGGCCACATTTCCTTCAGAGTGTGCAACTCAACCTGAATGTTCAACAGAGACAGCGCAGAAGGATCCAGCTCCGTGTCTCTCTGTGACAGGGACACGGCCTCAATCACCAGGAAAGTTGACCCCAACCAGTTGGAGCTAGGTCCACCACACTTCACTTTGGGTGCACCCGGTCCCTTCATGGAGGACGTCACTGCCTGCCCCTGCCCCTCCTCTCCTCGAGCCTGAGCAGCCACCAAGGGCTGGTGGCTATGCCATCCTGTGATCACTTCAACTTGGCTCCCTGCTTCCTAGTTTTGTGAGCGGCTGGGTGCTATGGGGCTCAGGGGCGGACGAGGTGGTCTTAGCCATCAAGACATCCACAAACCTTGCAAAGCACCTACTATGTGGCAGCTCTGCTCAGGGTACTGTGGACACAGAGACAGAAGAGCACTGGAGAAAAGATAGCGATGAATGGATTCTAAGCTGGAAGGTGTAACCATCTCCTCTGTATCAGGACTCTCCATTTCTAACCTCCCAGGCCCCGGGCTCCAGGCTCTGCCCTTCTCTGAAGCTAGGGGGTCCCGCCTGTGGACTCCCCTGTGGCCTTCTTCCACCTGGGAGACCCAGAGGCGAAGGGGAAAGCAGGATCAGGCATTGGTTTTCTCCTTCGACATCTAGCAGCAGCTGCTTTCCTTTAGAGCGGAAGTCCCAAGTGACGTCACTTCCTGCCTGTCCTGACTAGGTGGTACAGCTGTTGGCTGCTGTTTGTGTCAGGGTGCCTCAGTGTCCCTTACTCTTTCTTGTATGCCTAGACACACTAGTCACCTCTCCATTACATTCTCTTCAGAAACCCACCTCTCGTTTCCTGTTAGGCCACCACTGTCTCCATCCCAGGAACACCTTTACTCTTTTCAACAACCGGCTGCATGATTCCTTTTGATGTCAATCTGGATACACCTAAACTCAGCCCCTCTGCCCCCAGCCTGCACAGGCCCCAAGGCCCCGCAGCTACCTCAACACCTCCCCTCTCCACTCACCCCCAGCCCTCTGACTTCCGTCTCACCTTCCCTCCACATGCTAATGTTTCTGCTGCACCACTGAACAGCCAGCTACTGAGCCTCCCCAGCTAGCTTCAAATCCAGCGTGGAGGGGCTCTTGTCTCCCTCCTGTTCAGAAACCTCGCAGAGCTCCCTACTGCCAGAAGAACTCATTCTACATCAGTTTCCCCAAGTGTGACTTCCATCACCATGAATGTATGCCCTTCCTCCTGCAATGTACCCAGCTGCAAGGCTGCCCCTGTCCACTGCTCAGCCTGGAGGCCCTTCGCCCTCGCTGCCTGCCGAGCCATGCCCATGACAGAGGATCACAGGCTTCTCATGGTACTGCTCTGGAATACCATGGGATTATTCTATGCCTGAAAGGGGATGGGCTCTTGCATTTCCTGCAGGGCCAGGGCTGAATCCAGGCACCAAGCTCATTTTACCTGTGGGTCATGGATGCTGGTTTCAGAGCTGAGCCCCTGGCATGATGCAAAGGGCCAACCCGGTGGGGCAAAGTGCACACCGATCCTCTGCTCCTGCCCTCTGGGAGCCCTGTTGTAGGAAAGGGGCTCCCAACAAACCAGAAGCTACTTCAGGGACCCCCAAGGAGGAGGGGAGTGCTGGGATCAGGGTGACCATGCCACACAGCCTTGAGTTCACTCTCTTCCTGTTCCCGTGATCTAACACAATGGCCCCAACCTCCCAGCATGCCCGGCTGCTCTCCACAGCCCCTAGGGAGAGGTAGGAAGAGATGGGGACAGAATGACAGGGGTGCTCAGGAAGGATGGACGCTCACCTTGAGGTTCCCGTCGGCGGTGATTCGCAGCCGGTTGCACGACCCGCAGAAATGCTCAGACATGGATGTGATGAAGCTGATCTGGCCTTGGAAGCCGGGGATTCTAAAGGCCTGCAGGGAGAAGGGCCAGCCAGGGAATGGGGGGTGCTGCTGAGCCCGAGCTCCCCCTCCTTGATATCAGGAAGCCCCTCCTCCCAGAGTAGCCCAAGGCAGGTGGAACCAGGCACTCCAATGACGCAAGACTTATGTCTGAGGTGTGGCTGTCCCTGCCCCCGGCCCCCAACCTTGGCAGTGCTTGATTTCTCTTCTGGCAGCTTCTCCAGCTCTGGCCACCGCTGCCGGATGGTGTCCACCATCTCCTTGTAGCTGACCATCTTCTTAAAGTTCCACTTGTTGCCTGCATTTGATGTGTGGGCCTTTTGAACCGGAGTTGGAGGGACCTTGGGTCTTCAAAGTCCACCTCACTGCTCCCTCTCGGGGTGGGAGGAGGACGGGGGTGGGTTCTTGCCTGGCTCAGGTGGCTCAATCACACCGCCAAGGGCCCCTCATGACTCTGGGTCCACTGCAGACCCCACCCTGCCCGCCTCTCAGCCCCAGGCCCCATCTGCTGCTGACCGTCGAAGGGCATGTACTCTATGAAGCGCACGTCCAGGGGGAGACCCTCGGTCAGGGCCACAAAGTTCAGGAGCTCATCCTCATTCAGACCTCGCATTACCACGCAGTTCACCTGGTGAGGACATGGGACATGGGGGCGGTGAGGGCCCTCCCCATGTGCCCCCTTGGGGGATGACCTTTGGGAGGAGGGAGCCTGCAAAGGTCCTCTGCAGGGGGACCCACTCCCTGCCCTAACCCACCTAATTCTCCTAGAGTTGCAGGATTCCCTGGGGTCACTGCTTCTCTCCCTAATTTCTGGGAAAGGGTTGAGACAGAGCTGAATGCAGCTGGGACGGAAGTGGTGCGAGGCGCCCTGCAACTGCACTGGGCAGGTGTCACAGTCCCCAGCCAGGGGAAGCGGGGGGGAGGCAGAAGTCAGCGGCAGGGACAGCCCTCACCTTGACGGGGTTGTAGCCCAGCTCGATGGCCTTGTGGATGCCCTCCATGACCCTGTGGAAGCCTGTGGAGAGGGAAAGAGCTCACCCACAGCCCAGGGCCCTTGGCTGGCCCGGCCACGCACGCGGGGCAAGGAACACCTGCCCTGCAACCCATGTTGCCACACCTTTCCTGCGGACGATGAACTCGAACTTGGCGGGCACCAGGGTGTCCAGGCTGATGTTGAGGGCATTGAGCCCAGCCTTCTGCAGCGAGGGCAGCAGCCGGGCCAGGTTGATGCCGTTGGTGGTGACTGCGATGGTCTTCAGCCCTTCCAGCTGGTGGAGCTGCGCTGGGGAGGGAACGGGGCTGTTAAGACTGGCAAAGCACAGAGAAGCGATGGGGGCAAAACTGAGTCCAAACAAAGCGAAAAGGGGCTCTCTGAGACCTCCACTGCATGACGGGACTATCATTCCCACACCGCGATGCTGGGTGGCTCTGAGCCACTGGTGGTACGTGCATGACTCCCACTGGGTGGCTTGGGACAGTGCCATCGGGTGGTACAAGCTGCCCGATGGGAGTCACAAATGGACCACGGTGGTTCAAGCTGGCAGAAACACGTTATTAAGAGTGCACAAATAAAATGCACAATAAATACAAGCAAAATGTGAAACAGCGCTCACTCTATGCTAGGGTCTTGGCATACATTAACTCAGAGCAAGTTATCCTCGTTCGGTAAATAAGAGAGAGCCTTAAATAAGAGAGGTTAAGAAAACTGCTTGAATTGCTGGTAAGAACAGCTGAGATTCAAGTCTGTGTAGATGACTACAGGACTGTGCTCTAAATAACCCACTACAGAGATCATGCAGCTCTGCATAACAGCAACAAAACAATGTTCAAGTTCCCTGCTACTTGGCACCTCCATTCCATTAAAAACCCCTAGAAATAACATTCCTAACTCTACCAACAGGAAAGAATGCACCAGGTAGCCCAGAAAGGTAATGAAATACTGAAGGAGATAAAAAAAAAACAACAGGTGGGAGAAGAGGGAGACAGCGGACCATGCCCCCAAGTGCACCCAGGAAAAAGCTCTACAAAAACACAGGTGCCCAGTGACACTCGCAAGAGCAGCAGGGACCTGGGGCTTGGCCCACCATTCCTTGGCTGGGTCATGTGCAGATAAGATAAGTGTTGGTTTGGGGGGTTACTTTGCAAGGGAGAACAATATATAATACAGGACACCTAGTTTATAAGATTATTTATAATAGTCACCCAGAGAACGATATACAAGAGAGTGCAGGAAATCTGTCCACACACCACAGACCAGGAATCCAGCTGAGGGCCTGGATCCCGCGACAATGTCCTACATGAGTTCAGCTGAAGACCTAGAGCTCATAACAGTGCCTCCCACAAGTCCAGCTGGACTTCCAGAGCCCATAACATCTCATGCAGGCCTGTTTCACAGATCTGTGCTGTGAAGCCCCCAAGGTCAGTAGTGGAATCTAGAACGTCTATGCCAGCGGGATGAAGGATCTGTGCTAGCAGGCTGAGGGATCTGCACTGGAGCAGAAAGCGATGCTCAGAAGAACCAGAGCTCTCCTGAAAGGTACCACAGCCATCCTCAGCAACAGTGAGGTCCTGAGCTCCTCTGATGATCAAGATGGCCAAGTTCCCATCAGGAAAGCCAATGCAGCAAGCTTCTCCAGGAGACCGGCAGTGCACATCTTCCCCTCCGGAGCCAGAAAGCGATGCTCAGAGTGAGGACCAGAGCTCCCCCAAAGTAAACCAAAGCCATTCTCAGTGCCAACGAGGTCCTAAGCTCCTCGGAGGATGGAAACAGCCAAGTTCATCAGGAAAGCCACCATGATGAGCTCCTCCAAAACAAGCAACAGCTCCTTACAACTTCTACCAGCTCCTGACAGCCTTTCTCTGCTCCCAACAACCATAACTTTTCCTTCTCCAGTTTTGCCTCTTATGCTGCTGGCAACAGCCCCCAGGTGGGCCTCCCACACGCAGAACCACGCTTTCTCAGTTCAGCCAGGGGTTATAAGTTGATTGCCAGTTGTCAATCCACTACACTGGGCAACGGAACCTTGCCCTGTCCTGCAAGCAGGGACACCAGTGGAGACATCCGAGGTGGCCAGTGGGTCAAGTCCTGAGGAGCCATGATACTCAGGAGACACAGAACGCTGAGACCTATAGCCAGCAGCAGCCCATGGCCTTAACGGGGTCGGCAGCCAGAACCACCCAACAGCTAAGGACAGTGCTTAAAAAAAAGATAACAAGTGCCACCAACGGAAGAATGAATGAAGCAGCAGCAACAAAGATAACAGAAGGCAATTCTTTCAAAAAGTAGTATCCTGTTGGGCATGGTGGCCCCACACGTGCCTGTAATCCCAGCACGCTGGTAGGCTGGGGGAGGCAGAGGCAGGAGGATTGAAAGATTAAGCCACCTTGGGTAATTTAACAACTTAGTGAGACACTGTCTCAAAAAGGGATAGGGACCTAGCTCAGTGTGAAAGCCTTGGGTTCGATCTTCAGTACTGAAAACAAAAAGCAGTTACCTTCACTGGAAGAAATATTGAATCTTGAAAATAAAAATAAACTAAGATTCTTGAAAAAAGTTATATATATATATTTATTTATTCTCTTATTATCTGCAGGGGACTGGTTCCACTTTATGCCCAAATCCACAGACACTCAATTCCCTTACTTAAAACAGCGGGGTGTTTGTATATAACCTACATGCATCATCCTGTATACTTAAAATAGCATCTTAGTCTGACTTATAAAACCTAATACAATGTAAGTGCTAGGTAAATAGTTGTTACACTGTATTTAGACAACAATGACAAGAAAAAACGTCTGCCTGTTGTTACAGCAGCCACCAGGTGGGCCTAATGACAGAGCACAAATCGGGAACAATGTAACGTTTTCCCTGAGTATTTGTGACCGGTGGTTCACTGAATTTGCGGATGCAGAAACCTGGGTATAGAGAGGCTGAGTGGAGTGAGAGAGAGAGGAAAAAAACCTTGATGGAAAGCAGAAAGGACACATGAAAGGCACACGGGCAGGCTGAACACTGAGCAGAATGGATTCCTAGGAACAGGGTGAAAAGAATGGGATTGGAAAACACCTGCCTGCTCATATGCAAATCCAGTAACATCCGGAGAGAAGACTCCCCATGGACTAGGGTTGGGATGAGTTAAAGGCAGAACCCTGGGGCCCAGCCCACCCTCTGTCTCTGTCTCTGGCTCAAGATGCAGCTGTGGCCGCTTGCTGCTCTGACACACGCTCCCAGCATTGCTGTCCTCTGCCCCGTCCAGAGGGGAAACCAAGAGGGCTCAGCTGATCTTAGACTGGAACTTCTACGTGAGAGCAAAATAAACCTTTTCTCTTTATAACATTATTGCCTCAGGTATTTCATTGTAGTAACACAGATCTCACCAACACTATGTCCAAATGTTCACAGAAGCTGTCTATGATCAGTAGGATTCCAAGGGACTTTTGGATTTACTCAGCTGTAACTAATGTTTTCATCTAGAACTAGCAAGTTCTTTTATAATGTGGGGAAACACAACACACATACACATTGGTTTTAGCTGACTCTACTACAAGGACTGTGTCACTGACCAGATCCTTCCAGCCCTAGGACCAGGTGCTGCCATCAAACTACCTAAAGGGATGAGTGTTTGTAAAGAACCAGCTCAGCTTCGCCTGAGAGCAGAAACTAGGAGTAAGGCGCATAAGAGAAGCTGGATTAAAAGAACAGCAGCAGAAGCTGGCCAATGTAATGAAAATAAATCTGTGCTGTTAAGACTGCGTGGAAAAGTACACGCTCCATGTATAAGAATAAATTACACACAAGGTGATCAAGAAATATGGTGGATGTTTAAAAAATGTATTACAGTGAAAGACATTGCCAGGGCCGGGGATATAGCTCAGTGGCACAAGCACCTGCCTGGCAAGTGCAAGGTCCTGAGCTCAATTCCTGGTATTAAAAAAAAAAAAGAAAGACATCACCATTAATGCCTCTCAAAATACTCCCTCACTTGGAATGCACTTCTTCCCACAGTTCTGGATGGCCCCTTTATGTCATGTGATCGAAAATACAGTGAATGCTGCTGCCAACTGTGCCGAGCAGCGGAAAGGCAGGTTCATAAGAACAAACACAGTACTGTGTCCTCATCCACCTTATTCACTGGATCTGGCGCTATGTGCCTCGGGTGCTTCCTCAAAGTCAAAATGACCAGGACAGGTAAACGTTTTGAATCAATTCAGGACATCAAGGCAGCTGCACCAAGACAACGAAAGACACTCACAAAAGAGGACTCCAGAGCGGCTTCAGAAAGGGGCAAGAACAATGAGACAAGTGTGTTCACGGAGCGTTTCCAGGGAGATTAATTGCAATGTGTCTTTTATGGTAATAAGTTTTTAAAAAAATTTAAACACGCCATGTTTTGCCGTCACACCTTGTATACTCAGGTTCTGCTCTCACGTGAAGTTATGTATGGAATTTTACAAAGCCTTTGACCTGAAATTTCATGTCCAAGAACAGGAAATCATCATGGAAGTGAACTCTATTTATCTACAAGGATATGTGCTACAGAGCAATGCATAGAAAAGGCGTGTGGGAAATACCACAGGCAGCCAACAATGCAAAACTGGTTAAACTGTTTTCTGTGGACACTGGTGTATTGCGCAATGAAACATGACTCCACCCTACTGTGCTGAGGTTGGGCAATGTGCTCCGGATAGGACGGAGACTGTGTGTGTGTGTGTGTGTGTGTGTGTGTGTGTGTTGTGGGGGGTGGTATTAAATACAGGAAGCACTCCAAGCAGAGAAAAAGGCAGGCAGATAGCACACCACACAAAACACTGACAGTGGTTACAAATAGCTCTTGGCAATATTCTTTTTGCTTTCTTCAAATAAAAGAAAATAAAATTTAAAAACTAAAAAGTTGTTCGAAAAACAAAGAACTTTTAATTCTGCCTCTGCCAACAAGGAAAATCAGCAGTGGTTATGGGTCCTTCTGCCAAATCAAGCCTGGAGAAACGCACAATGTAGCACCTTAAAAAATCTTGAGCAACTCCCAGGCAGAGGCACAGCTGCTCTGAGCTGTGTTGGGGAAGGGCCCGCCGGGTAGACAGGGACTGGCAAGGACATGGGTAGACAGGGGCAAATGAGGCAGCGTGAGCTCTGTTCTCAGCTCCTGCATGGATGCCCAGCCACCACAGGGCCCCTACCTGAAGGATTCAGAGGCAAAGGCCCAGAGAACTGGCCTGGGAGCCACTGGAGGGGAATAGCTGGTTGATGTGGACATAGTGAGCATGCGTGAATGACAGTCTGAG